GTTCAAAGTATACGACATGACCGAGCGGTTGTACAGGTAAGTACTAATTTGATCAATAATTGCGATTTTTACTAAACACTACAAAGTACACAGATTCTTGGGTACAACGCCTCTTTAAGTATATGTTTTTAGCATTACGAATTTCTATTCTACCAAATATTTGTAGTTCTAAAACTGATCAGCAGAATTTAACAAAGGGTATTAAAGCTTATATAAAATTTGCATTTAATATACAGGTACATTCTTTCATATTCTTTCATTCTTCTTCATAAAGTTGACATCGACATTCAAATCTTTTGAATTAATGCATTTATAAATATATATAAAAAACAAGAGAGGAAAATACCCTGTAGTCTCTTCATTAAGAAACTAAGACTATCATCATATTTGGGGTTTGCTCCAATACGATCTGTATAACAGATTATAACAGATTTTTTCTTGTGTTCTATTTTCTTCTTTCCAGCTGGCCCTGCGAGGTTGGAGGTGAGAACTCTGCCTACTATGCAGCCCAATCGCAGCTCTATTCGACGGCTCTGCCGCCAACTGTCCTCTGTGCGGACTACAATAATAATAATCCTAGTGGTGGAGGTGGTTTGCGGTACCTCAATGGACTTGCTGGCTATACCCCACCGCCGGGCTTGCTGCCGCATAAGTATACGGGTATGCCCGGTCAGCTGGAGGTGTGCCAATATGCGCATGTGAACGGCAGCGCCTCCTGCTACAATCGCAACCGTTATATGCCCTACAATCATAATCGGGCATGCGCAGCGGCTGCTGCAGTGGCGGCGGTTACCGGTCACCCGCTGATTAATCAACATCATCAGCAGACGGGCGTGTCGTTGGGTGGTCCGGCCAGTGCCGGCGGATTTGCGAACAGCTATCAGCCATCGTTTGCGCCCATTTATCAGCACACAACACCGCTGGCCACGCCCACAGCGCTGCCGCCGGCCAACGTCGGCTCAATGACGCCCAGCGTGTGCGCTGCGAGCAGCACAGCTACCGGCGCTGCTGCAGATTACGGCTACAATAATGGGCTGACCAACACCATGGCACCCACCTGCTCGGGCGCCTCCACAATGTCCACCCATAGCTGTGGCAGCAGCTCCACCGGCGAGGCCAGCGGCGGGCATGTCTATGCAAGTGTTACCGATCCCAGCGATGCGGTCACACTGCAGATAACCAACTTGGATTACTCGCTGGACGAGACCAGTTTGCGCAATTTCTTGATGAACCAACTGAAGCCCATCACGCCCGTCGTGTCGCTCAACTTTGAGGCCAGCAGCTATGCCAAAGTCACCGTACCGGATCTCTATGTAAGTCTGCGCCGGGCAACTTTTTCAATAATAATAATAATAATACCTTCTCGAACAGTTTGCCAAGCAAGTGGTGTCCAATTTGCATCGCAAGAAGATTGGCCACAAGCGCATGTTGGTCAGCTACACGCGCGACTCATCCCTGACCGAGGTCAACACACTGCGCTGCCAGGTTGCTGGACTGTTGAAGGTCGGTGTAGAAAATAGGTTTTGGACTTTCATTGCACAATTCTCAATGTTCTTTTATTTTTGTAAATATTCCTAATTAATGGGATTCGTTGTTTTCTGCACTTTACTTTCTAAAAAAAATCAATCTGAATTTTTTGAATGCCAGCTTTATCTCACATTTTAGCGTGTCCTCGTTCTTTCCCCTTTGAACCCTTTGAATTTCCCACATTAATCACGCTTGCCTACCAACAGGATGTTCCGTACTATACACTACCTATGTATAAGTTCCGCGAGCTTTTCCAGTCGCGCTTCAAAACCTCGATCAGTGTCCTGGATTTGTACAAGATGCAGGACATCTGCACGATCAATTCGGACAACAACGAGGACAAGTTCATCAGTCTACAAGCAGAGCTGGTCAACACGCTGGAGAGCTCGCCGCTGATGGAGGGACTGCAGCACAGTGTGCCGTATTGCACGGTGCACTTCAAGCGGGAGCAGCACAAGGGCTGGGCAGAGCAGGAGATCGAACCGTTGCCTAATGTGTGCATGACCATTGCGGAAATACAACAGCTGATTTATCCGCTGCTGAAGCATCATCCGGGCGATATACCCGTGGCTACGTTGCTGCACTGCATCGAGAGTCAGTTGAAAGTGCAAATCGCGGCCAACGAGAGCGGCGTCAATCTGGAGCATCTTGTTTGCTGTGTCCAGGGCATACAGATACAGGTGAACAACTTTGGCATTAAGATTCTCGGCTGGCTGGAGCTCAACAAGGAGGTGTCCACAAGTGCCACCGGCATGGCCAATGCCAGCCTGAATAGCAGTGAGCGCGGCAACGGCGCTTCTAGCGGCTATTTCAAAAACTCTGTGGCCGATCCTCTTTTTCAAATCTCACGCGAGGTAATCGAACTGGTCAAAATGTCGCCCAAGTCCACGATGAAGTTCAATCGCTTCATCCCCGCCTATCACAATCATTTCGGCAAGCAGTGCCGCGTTGCGGACTATGGCTATACCAAGCTGATTGAGCTCTTCGAGGCGTTGTCCTCGGTGGTTCAGATCATGGGCGATGGCGAGAATCGTCAGATAACTCTCACACATCGCACCCAGATCCGACGCTTCACATCGGACTTGTTGCGTGTGCTGCGCGCCCATGGCAACAACTCTGTGCTTCTGTCCCAATTGCCGGGCATTTTTGCCCAGACCCAGAATCGCAACTTTGATGTCACCGATTACGGTGTCTGCGATATTGTGGACATCTTGGATGGTCTCGTCAATAGCAATATTGTAGTGCTAAGCACCGTGCAGCAAGGCAAGGATATACTTATATCCATACCCAAGCGCAAGCAGACCAACACAGAGCTGGAGAAGACCTGTGTGTTTGCTGGCGAGATGGTGGAGCTGTTCCAGAATGCTTTGCAGTACAGCATACTGTTTCAGAAGTTTGTGCGCTCCTATCACTACCATTTCGCCTATCAGTGTCGCCTGAGCGACTATGGTTTTCTCAAGCTGGCGGATCTCATGGATGCCATACACGGCGTTGTCGAGCTGGAGATGACCAGCGATGAGGACAAGAAGATTGTGCTATCGCCGAAGGTGGCTAGACGTGTGTTTGCCGAACAGTGCGAGGATCTTATACGCAATGTTACCGGCAACTCAACCAATTGTATGAAGCTGGAGCAGGTGCTCAAGCTGCACAAGAAAAAATACGGATATCAGATGCAACCGCAAACATTGGGCGCAGCAGACATAGCCAGCGCCATTGAGCTACTGCCCTATGTCGAGATACTGCACAAGGAGCAGGCCACCTGGCTGATCTGTCACAACGACGATGTGGAATTCCGCCAGCTATGCTATCGCGCCTGCAAGCAGCTGCTGCAGCGTGAGGCGGTGGCAACTACTGCGGCAACTCCTGGAGAGCCCGCGACCCCACCAAAGCAAGAGCCGCTCAGCCAGGCGCAGTTCGCTAGCGACTTCAGTGCAAAGCACAAGCTACAACTGACGGAATCCACACTTCATGCCATGCGGCATGCCATAGAGGTGAGATATGGCAACGGACTTGCAACCCCCTGATTCTATATAAGTTCTAATATTTTCTTAGATCTACGTGGAGGCGGATCAGCCTTGCGTGCGACTTACCGGCTTTATGCGGTTTCTGGTGTCCATTGTGCGTCTTTTGGAGCAACGTCCCAATATGTATTTGTACGAGCTGAAGAGCGCCTTGGACTGTGGATTGACCACCACCTTCGAGTTTGGTTTTCCCAATTTGTATTCAGTTATTGTGGCACATGATGATCTCTTTACTATCAACATGGGACCCACACAGGAGCGCAGCGATGTCGCCCTTAATGTAAATTGCGAACGTAAGTGGGGTAAACCTAGATGGGCGGGTAAAAAGAGGCATGTGAGACAGAAAATTAATTAAGAAACGACATCTTACCTTTCACAGTACGTCTCAATGCGGGCGCCACACATCAGCATCTGTTTGGCTCCCTGAAGCTGCCCTATGCCAAGCACAAGGCTCAGCGAAGCACACGCACACCGCTGGGCGAGCACAATCGTCCACCGCCATCCCAGGCGCCTCCTCCGCACAAGACCCGTGCCATAGCCAATGAGTATGCGGGCAGTATTGGCAGCGTGCCCAATGCCGCCCACAAGCCGCAGGTGGCGATCAACAGCTTCCAGGCCTATCAGGAACAGTTTGCCGCCAGCTCAGCACAAGTCAAATGCTCGCCGCCCAGCGCCAATTGCTCTGTTATGTCATCCACAATGCTGAACAGCTCCGGTACCGCCAATATAAGCCTGTGCAGTAGCTGCAGCAATAAGGAAAATTCGCTCAACAGCTCGCACCAGATCTTTAACAGCAGCAACAGCAACAGCTCCTTTAATACATCCTGCGAGCTTAACAGCAGCCTCTGCGCCGGCGATGTCGCCTCCAGCACAGCCATAACCACGGCCATGCCTTATGCCAATTCTGGCAAGTTGTGGTATCGTCGTCAGGCCAGCTTCTATCAGCAGCAGCAGCATCAACAACAGGCGCAACAGCAACTGCAGCAACAGCAGCAGCAAAGGCAACAGCAACAGCAGCCAACCTTGATGCAGCATTCCTTTGACTCAGGTCGCGATTTGTATGATTTGGTCAGCTGCAATGTGGCGCCGATACGTTCTTGCTATGATCCACCAAAGCCCGATACGCCGCCATCGGAGGTAAGTGCTAATAATAATACTTTTATATAAATTATATATTATCTAAATGATTAATGAATGTGTATTACCATTAGAAATTGCCTTTCTGGATCGATCCCGTATGGAGCAATCAGTCGGAACAGCCAAAGCAAAACTTGCTTAACATTCGGCTGCCAGAGCTGAAGGGTCTCAATGTTCTCCCCATGCTTTTGTCGCCATATACCATATCCAAGCATGCGAATATGAAGCGAAAGCTGTTCAACTTTGATAATCATGATCGTAAGATAGCCTAAGCAGCAACGAATTCTAGAACAAAAGAAGTTTAGAACGTACGACTGCGGCAGAGTTTAAGCATTTTGTATAGGTTCCTGGTGAGCCCCAAGATTGTCACAATTTAATTTACTTTCGATCAAGAAAATGATTATCTTTATTAAATTCCTACTATAAATACTATAAGATTATTTTTTTTTTATAAATTGTTATACGGATCACAACAAACACACACACATTTTGTATTTTAGTTTTAAGATAAACTTTGTAAATTGCTTTAATGTTGCGCCAAACAAAATATATTCAAAAATTCGTTAAATTCCTGGACCATAAAATGATATGGCTATGAGCTATGTTTAAGGACTTAAAATTCGAAACTAGCTACACCTATGTCCTTTGGGTCTACAACTCGATAATTTCTTTTCGTTTTTTAGCTGAATTTTAATTCAATTCCCATTCTGCCGAATGGACTTTGGCGACCATTACATTATGGGTGAAAACCACAAAACTCTTGATATCTAGTAAGTTAAAACTTCGATGTTCTTTGGCCAATGGATACGGACAACGATGAACATAAACAACGATTCCCGCAACCGCCGAATAGGAACGCAAAATATTTTTTGAAAAATGTTAAAATAGTTCTGTTTTCTTACCCATAGTGATAAGATTGTGGCAGCTGCAGCACCATCACCTGGGGTAAGTTCTGACACTCGTTGCATTTGTTGTTTAGCCTTGCAGAGCCTTGCTTGTTCAGCTGCTATTACTGCAAAATAGACTAGAAGAATTACGTGATATTAAAAAAAAATATATGTAATTGAATATTATGCAGCCACCACCTAAATAGTTTCTTACTCTAGGTTAAATATAAAATAGAAATGTATTAGTTTTTGTGATGCATGCTATTACCAACAAACGGAAATATTTTTTTTTACAAAATAAAATGATATTTGTTTCACTTCAATAAATATTTTCAATTTTGGATATTTTAAAAATCAGGAGCAACTTGACGAAGGAAAGCATTGGCTAGCTCAATTCCGAAGAAGGTCGCTGCATTAGCCGGAAAGGCGCGAATGATTACAGGTGTAAAGCCACTAAAACCGATAATAAATTAAAATTTACCCATAACAAGATCAAATACTTAGAAAAGACTAACCGATAGAGAGCCGAAAGTCCATCATTTTTTGCTAGATCTTTAAAAACATCTCTAATACCATTAAATTTGCCTTCAGGAGCTGCCAAGTTAGATTTAAATTAAATAAACTACAATTTATTAAGGGAAACTACTCTACTCACCGGATTGCAGTCGATTTTTGAGCACATCGGCGGGCATGCCGCCGATCCAATAAAATATTCCCGCCAGTCCTCCTGCAACTATAGCCGGCACTAGATCCACAATGGGCCTGTTAAAGCGACGTTTGTACTCATCTGTCAAGATCTCATAGCTCAGAAAGTACAGACCGTTGGCAGGCATATCTGGAAAAATGAATTGGCAAGGGATTATCTCATAATAGTTGCATAGTAGCCAATATAATTGCCATGCATTCGATACGCTTATGACATATCTTAATTACATGTCGATATCAATTAGATCAGTACGCAAGCATTTACTGTATAATCAGAATAGTACTGGGGTTCAATTAGTTGAGACTTATTTAAGGCACCAATCGAAGAATGCACGCGCTGTCTCAATGCATTGCACAACACACTCTCAAAAATCACACTGCATGTCAAAACCGGACTCGTTTTTCTCGAAATGTTGCACTGTGTTCACATTTTCAGATTATCGCAAAGCATTTTTTTAACATCAATTTTATACAGTACTTATCAATATCACAAAGAAAATGTGCTCTTAGTTCAACAATAAATACTTGAAACCCCAATACAATTCTTTACATTTTGTACACAGTTAGAGTTTGACTTTAAATATACAACATAATTTAAATATTCACAATATTTGACTTGTGTGCATTCTTATAAAATCGATTATCTAAACAACTTGCGATATTAATAGATTTAATGGCGATCTAGCAGACTAGTATTCGCAAAGCTGATCTGAACCTGTCGCAAGTTGCATAATACTGGGAGCATAACAGATTTAAATTAGATAATTATTGTGCTTGTTAATCTTAATCGTAATCTTAATGCTATGCTTATATTAAACGTTAGCTTTTATGTGTAAGAGATATTTATAGTTTAAACGAATTGATACCTTTTATATAAGAAAAATATTAATAATGATTTCTCAATAGTCGATTTGCATATCAAATCACATTCAAAGAGATTGCGCGGAGGTCATATAAAACCTTAAAACTCGTAAGGTTTATAAAAATATACATTTATTTTAATCATTTTTTAACAAACTTTTTTTAACTGTCTGACAGGATTTCATCCTGGAAACTACCTGTGATTACGAAAATAAAATTTAAAAATGTTCAATTAAAAACTTGGCGCAACCAAATTAAAGAACTTATTAGCCAGCTCAATGCCAAAGAAACAGGCCGCGTTAGCTGGGAAGGCACGTATCATAATTGGCGTTACGCCACGATATAGTGCTAATGGACCATCCTTGACAATCAGATCCTTGAATACGCTACGCACGCCGTGCTTATAGGTTCCCTCGGGTGCTACAAAAAAATTGTAATATAAATTAATGTTATAAATGAATAATGTATATACAACGAACCCGATTGTAGACGACTTTTGAGGACATCTGCAGGCATGCCTAGTAGCCAATAGGCCATGCCCGCTGCACCGCCCGCAAATATGGTGGAAGCAGTGTTTATTTCGCCCGTTTTTGAATTCGCCTTGGCCACATCCTGTATGTACTCATAGACCAAGAAATACAGACCATTGGAAGGTAGATCTACAAATAGGTTAAACATCATTTTAGAAATCAAGTAAACATATTTAAAGGTATATATTTAAAATTGTATACGGACAACAGCTACTAAATGAAATTAAACTAAATACGGCAGTTGTTGCTTACTCACATTTAAAAAATCTTAATTAATTGTTTTTATTTTTTAATGTTGAATTTTTTGATTCTTGCATGCCAATGTTTTTCTTGGACTCTGGAATTATGATATGCCAATAACGATATACGATCACTGTGGAAATTATTTAAATCTTTCCATGAGGGCGGCGACTTTAACGGCGCCACAAATATATATATTTTTTGTAATATAGTAAATCCGAATGAACTATATAGCATAATGATTACAAACATGTACACAATAACTTACACATTGTGCACAGAAAACATAAACAAGCTACAGTGGGATCGAACTGTAAGCATAAATTTAAATACCAATGAAAATGAGACAAAATCAAAATGAATAAACATAAATATTTAATTTATAATATAGATAACAACTTTGTTTATCATAATATTAAAATTGGCAAGACAAGTTATAAAATAAATATAGAAAAGAAAATAATTCTGTTTAGCACGCAATTTATACGATTATTATTGCTATTTATACAATACTCGATTTGGAATACATTTAACAAATAACTTGAATACTAATCCCGACAGGTTTTTATAGAAAAGGTGCGTAGTTAAAGTATAATGCCCAATAATCGCCTGGCTCATTTAATTCAAAATAAAATAATATATATATGTATATGTTGCATTAAACGCAACTAATTCTGAATTTATTTGTAAAAAATATGAACATATATACTAACTATGGTAAGGAATTTTTATGTTGTTGTTCCCAAATTTATAGAATCTTTTAAATTGAACAGGTTGGACTTGTTATTCCCAAATCGATATCTGAATTTCTAGACTAAACAAAAGAAAAATGTTCCAATACCTGCGCTTTTTCTTATTTTAAGTACTTTTTATGGAAAGTCAGAATTTCACTCTTATAAGATAACTACAAATCCTATCGTTAGTTACTAAGCCGAATCTTTTTCAGATAGTATTACTATTCCCTGCTATAACTACAGAAAAGGGAGGGAGAGCGACAGAAGGGCGGGTTGTTATAAAACTTTTGGATCAGACAGACGCGACCTTGTGCTAAATGGAGGCAGTGGAGAAACTTCTCAAACCGACGCCCAGCATTTCAGTACATAATATACGAATAAACGATATATATGTATGTATAAATATATATACATATATAAGAGAGAAGGCTTATCGGAGGATGTGACTATCAGAAACTCATTTCCGCTAAGAAAATATACTGGAATACAAATAAAATGGAATTACAATAACAATAGGAGTTCAAATTTGAATGCTGATTTCGCTCTCAGTCTTCTGGGAACCATGGGGCTGCGTTTTAGTATATGAACGGAATTTGAGGCAAGTGTATCTGGTTAAATAAAAAAGTACACGCGTAGCAAGCGCCAGTGGCTGTCAAACTGTGAGAAGCGATAATGATGATATCGTTAACGAGCCCAATAAACGTGCTGATCGTGCTGCTGCTAGTGAGTGACCTGAACAATTTTATGATATGATCTATAAGTTAGACTCTGCATACAATAGCGCTGCCAACCAGAGTCAGCCTTGCCACAGCTCGACCAGCAGCCGGAGGCACCTGTGGAACTGGACGTGCTCAGCTGCCCGTTGAGCTGTGTCTGTCAATATGCCGCATTCAATGAGCTGCCCATAGCACGCTGGGTGAACTACATGACCAGCGCGGAGGAAGGACCTGATGACTCTGATTTCCCATTGACTAACCACATCAAACTGGCCACTTGCCTGCTACAAGAAGCCAGCGAGACGCTGGCTTTGCTCAGCGCTTTGCCCATTGATTTGCAGGCTTTAGTCCTCCTACATACGGGCAGCCCGGATAGCCAATTGACAGGTGGGTTCGCGGTTTTGCTAAACTAGGCATTTAACTATTCAATTATAACAGGATGAAAGTGTTTAAAAGTAGGCCCTAAAGCGATTGATTAAAAAATATACAGAACATAGGGTCAAGATGAATAGAGCGAGTTTTAGGTATAAAAAAAGGTCGTATGGCTTTTAAGCTCACAGTTTGAAGCGTATATATTTTCGCTTTATAATGAAGCTTAAAAGGTATTATAAATCTCAAACAAGAGTTAGTTGTTAGAAATAATAATAATTAAAATTTTTAAAAGTACGCCTATGGCTTCAAGTTAGTTTAAATCATGCTTTAACGAATACAAATTTGTTCCGGAATAAGTACAAGCTTTTGTTGCCTGCTTTGAGTTTTCCGATATGCTTTTAATGCTTTTCATCTTCTTTCTAAACAAATATTGAAAAAAAGAAGATATAAAATACAGTGTTCCAAAAGGAGATTTGTTTTTCAATATCATCTCAAAAGCAAAGACTAACACAGTATTATATTATACGATTGCAGTGAATACGAGCAGTCTGCGTTTTCTCAATCAGCTGAGCACACTGGAAATACGCGGCACGGGCGCCACAACGCTGATTATCGATGAGCCGCTGGAGCTGCTGCAGCATGCGAATTTCGAGCAGATCCGCTTGCAGGCGGGTGAACGCCTGCAGCGGCCGAAGCACTCAAAGTTGCCCAGCGATGATTACGAATACAAGCCGCCTAGTGATGTGTCGGGCAATGAGGCGACGCCCAAATATCAATTGCAATTCGAGGCAGATGCCACCGTGGAGATTATGAGCTATGAGCAGCATGTCGAACGTCTGAAACAGACGCGTATGCCAAGCTTTTGGGGCTGGAACCTGCTGGAAGTGTTGCGCATACACAATTGTAAGCTAAACGAGCTGCACTGGCAAATGTTCGATGGATTGACACAGTTGCATCATCTGAACCTCGAACGCAATGGCATTGAGGAAGTGCCACCATTTTCCTTTAGCGGTGCGCCACACCTGAAGAGTCTATCACTGGCGCACAATGCAGTGTCGCGTTTATATTATTTGGGTCTAGCCGGTTTGCTGGAGCTGGAGACGCTCAATCTGGCCAGTAATCATTTGGAGCGCCTAAGTGAGTCAAGTTTTCCGCCTTTGCCACGCTTACAAAAGGCTGACTTGAGACAGAATCCCATAATGTATATATTGCCGGCCACGTTTTGGGTGATGAACGACACACTTGAACTGCAGCTGGGAAGTGAGCTGGCAGCACTAAAGCTGCACAGTTGGAACAGCTACGGACAATTCGATTCGCTGCACAAGCTGCGCACGCTGAGCCTGGGTAATGTGACCACGCCCAGTTTGGAGCAAGGCGTCTTTAAGGTTTGTGTGTTGTAGACTGAAGCAATGGCTGAGCAGCCGTTGAAATTCATTAGTTTTCATTCTCTGTTGCCAGAGAGTAGAATAGCTTTAATGTCTTCCAATGTCCGAATGCCGGTGAAACGCATAGATCAAAAATATATTGACTAGTTTTAAAGTTTCCGAATTTTACGTAATAGTACTGTCGGTATTCCTTTAAATAAAATCATGAGAATTTTTTAGACAAGCCACAACAAATATGTTTTATCCGACATTCAAAAACTCTCAAAATATATATCCAATAGTTGTCCGATTTTCCAATTGCAATTTTAAAGCTCTAGTATTAGGAAAAGCCAAAATTTGTTGATCATTTTCTTGAAAGGTCACGAATGCAACATCTTTTGATTTCGTTCCTTTAGGGTCTTCAATCCTTGGAGCAGCTGACACTGCGCGGACGCATTGGCAGCGTGCAGTTTGATGCATTCGCTGGCATGGAGCAGCTACGTGAGCTGGACCTTAGCCATTGCGGCATTGCGGAGCTGTCCATGGATGCGTTGCTGGGCGTCAAGCGGCTGGAGCTGCTCAATTTGGCGCACAACAATTTGACACATGTGCCGAATGGTCTGCTCGATGATCAGCAGCAACTGGTTGTGGTGCAGCTGCAGGGCAATCAACTGCGCACGCTGCCCACCAGTTTTTTTCAGCAGCCACGTCTGCGCGTCGCACGCCTCGACCAGAATCCCTGGCAGTGTAATTGCGACATGAGCAATTGGCTGCCACGGCTGACGAATGTGGTGCGTGGCCCCAGCGTGGAGCGCTGCGTGCGCGACATCGATGGAAAGCCCATTCTGTGCAGGCATGTGGTCAGCTACAAGATGGACAAGAATCTGGTGCCGCGTTGCGCGAACTTTAATGGACGCAGCGTTTACTATGTGCTGCGCAGGCAGCTTCACTGCGGAGCGCCGCTTTTTCTGACTCCCTCAAGATCAGGCAACACACGTGGCCTGCCCCATTGGCTCAAGTTGGAGCTGCAGAATCGGCCGCAGCAGCAACATCGACAGCAGCAACAGCTACAACACCAGAAAATGGGCAGCACAAACAAGAAGCAATCGCTCAAACGACAACACAAAGGTCATTTGTCGCAACACAACCGTTTGGATTATATATTAAGCCAAAAGAATCAGCAGCGGAATGAGGAATTCTCGCAAGAAACGGAAGACAAGCAAATGTCCAATGAGATCTAACAATAAGCACACTTGCACTTAGTTTAGCTTTAATCTGCATATAAATATTAATTTGAACGTTTACTACCCCAAACCTAATTAGAATTAATAAAATAAATGATTAAGTACACATAGACTGCAACTAAACTAACGAATGCACGAATCACAGCATAGCTTCAGGACTATTAAAACAAAAACAACATTCTAATAGCATGAAAAAACATCGCGGTATTTTGCTTATTCCGATTTATTAGCAAATCGGGGCTGTTTGTTAAACGTTTCAGGATGAGAAGCAAAGAATTAAACAAATTAAATACTCACGAGAGCAACCAAAAAATAAAAATCTAAGAGTGAAGCCAAATGAGTAAGTAAAATCTATGAATTTGCAGATATGTGAGAATAGTGCAGCTAGAAAACTCTGAGTTTCTTGAAATATCTTTGAAAACTGAATATGTTGCTTTATAAGATCCTAATATTTCGCCGATCTTTCCTATAGTTATCTTAATATAAAAGAAGGTTTTTATATGAGAAGCAACTTTTCGACCGATCTTTTCCATGGCTGCTATATGTAATAATTATCCGACGCTGATAAGATTTTGCAGACATGTAGTGAAACTTATAAATGCCGAGTAAGATATCTTGTTGTTTATACAATAACCTAATTTTGGACCGATCGTTCCAATAGCAGCTATATGATATAGTGGTCCGATCCGGCCAGTTCCGACATATGTACCGCCTGCAACAGAGAGACGGACATATGCAAAGTTTCAAGACGATAGCTTTAAAGCTAAGAGACTAGTTCGCATAGAAACAGACAAACGGACATGGCTATATCAACTCGGCTGTTGATGCTGATATTGAATATATATACTTTTTGGGGTCAGGTTTACGATATAATATTTAGATAACAATTCGACAATATCTTAGAAGTGAAGCAATCATATAAAAGTGCTTGATAATGATATCTTGAAGTACAAGAAAGTTGATCATTATTATTATAATAATTTTCAACCTATCGCTCCTGTAACAGCTAAATGACGAAGTTCCGTACCGCACAACTCCGACATATGTACTGTCCATACAAAGATAAAACTGAGAGGCTAGTTTGTATAAGAACATACAGACAGCTACATTGACTTCAGTATGTACATATACTTTGTGTCCTAAGCATTACATATTTCGTGACAAAATTAAAATAGCCTCGGCAAAGTTTTTAAACTAAACAATGTGTAGAAATTGACATTTTCTTAGTTCAAAGTTAAATATTTATATGATCCGTACAGCTCAGCCCGTCAATCGTATTTCAAATTTTAAATTGACTTACCTCTGAGCATCGTTGCACAGCTGCCTTTAAAAACACTACGCAGACCACCCTCCTTATATAGCTTGACAGCGCAATCGATCATTCCATTGTATTTTTTTTCTCCTCCAGGACCAATGCCCTGTGTTTGCAAGAGCACCTTGATGCGTTCGCCGGGCGCCATGATGAACGTGGAGAATAGGCCGGAGAACGAGCCGGCAACAAAGATTTGAGGATACGTGAGCTTAGCTTCCTCACCGCGCTGTTGCAGCCTCTTTCCCAGTGCATAGCCGGCAAAGCACATGGCGAATATGGGCGCCACCCCCGTCAGCGGCGCGGACATACCCTTGTACAGACCCCGAACGCCTTCATTACGTATGGTCTTGGCAGCGCAGTCGAAGGTGCCGCGATACAGGGGCTGCTCCCCAGGTGCTGGCCGTGGCATTGTTTGTAAACGCACCTGTACAGCAAAATGAACATGTTAGTTAGGTGGTAAGCCGTATCACAGAGAACTCACCTTAATGGTGTCAAGAGGATGCCCGGAGAGTACATTGCAAATGCCGCCAAAACCTCCAGTGATAAAAGATTTCAGCGGATTGGCCTTGCGCTCTGTGGGCGTATTCTGAACCTTTTCAACAACTGCCATAGTAGACGAATTTGTGGGTCTGTAAAACAGAATAGTAAAGTTAAATTTAAGTCACAAGTGTATATCTAATTTATATAAAGATCGGAAAATACGCGGACTCGATTATTGATCCGGACCCATTCTTGTAAGGGCACAAACTCCACAGCACATTTTTAGGTCCTCGATAACTTATTTATATATAAATATTTATTTATATAGTATATATAATAGATAAAAATATGTATAAAATTGTCATATATAAGCATCTATTTAACTATATTTCCCTCATCACCTATGTGTATCACAGAGAAATATTACTAGAATTTGTACTCTGCCCCCAATCATTGCTTAATCTAGTGGTCATTGTACTCTAACTGATAAGGATTAGAGCAAATAAAGTTTGTTACGCCAATTAATGAAGGGCTACAATAATGACTACAAATCCCAGACTTAAATCTTTCTTATGTTCTCACCTGATGAGCAAGATTTATAAACAAGCCGAAAAAAATATCGTTGTCGTGGCGGCGGCGCAGGCAGCGGTAACGGCAGTGAGTGCGAGAGAGTCGGGCTCAGTGAACCTGTTGCGGGCAGCAGTACGGGGTTAATTTGGTTTCACGAGAGATGTCTGTGAAAGTGAATGGATAACGTTATCAACGAGGCACGAACGAGAGATTCTATAATAGTATGCGTGATGGTTACGTACGTACCTAGGAAAACTTAATTTTATTTACGTTTCCTGCATTGCCGGCACTGCTCGGTCTAAAGTCCGCTATCGTTCGCCGTCTAGATCACAGTCACACATCTATTTTTGCATTAACATCGGGGAACGTCTGAATTAGCGGCAACTTGCGTGTATTACTTTTTTTTCAATTTAATTTTGTCTTCTGAAGTGTTATCCAAATATCGATGCTGTGTTATTTTGTTTGCTGTAATTAAAGCTTCAATCTAGAGGTGAGTGCAACATAACACGACCAAATTTATATCCATAAGCACGCACGTTGATTATTTATGCTACTTACTCTTCAACTAGATGTATTTTTATAATTAATTCAATAATATTTTGATTAACTGTGTATACATAGTGCGTTCAATATATATTTAATTTAGTTAAATTGAATAAATAATCTATTATGGTGAACACAATTTGAAGCACGAAATTCAAGTCACACGTGAAAAACACGACCTAGTTTCATCTCAAATTGAATGCGTCAACAAGTGCTGCCAACCTGTTCGTATTTAATAAAATATGTACAGCTGATGCCATTTGCCACTAATTTGCTCGCACGTACATTTGAAAATTCAAAAATAGTCATCAAAATATTTACATGTTTCTGCATAAGATGTTAACTTATACAACAATAAACTGTTTATATATTTAGATATACCATATAACAAAAAGTTAAAGAGGCAAAGGACTTACTGTTGTTGGCGACGACAATCTTGGTGAAGATGGCATACGATCGGGATAAAGTCTCGTTTCACACTAGATTTGTATGTTAAAATACCGTGTATTTTGTATTATTGTTAATACATTTATCAATACATCACATGATAATAACCGACAAAATTTGTGTTGTTTTAATTTATCAATTATTTAAAGTTTGCATTTATAAACAATTCGAAATGCTAGTTTACCGCTAATGCCGTATTGTCCAACACTGAATCCAAGTATTACTTGTGCGAACTAGCAGCGCGTCGTAAAAACCAAATGTGTCAACGTGTGATGTGAATGACTACACTCTCTGAGAGCATAACATAACTATCGATAAGTATGGAAACAGCTGTATCACTAATGGTTCTGTTAGTAACTTGTTACAAAAAAGGGTTGATATCCAGCTAGCAGCTTTTCATTTAAAATTGTATAAAGTAAAGACCTTATTCGGCTTTATTATATACTATAATTTTTTTTTATGTCCAAAAAATAATAATTGCCGCTTGTTGCTATCGATAACAATAAAGCAACTGTTAAGTTAACAGACGAACAACAATCTTCGTTTGATGCACGAAGAAGAAGAAGAAGCGAAGTCGTGGAATACATACATAAATTCTGCGGCTGCTGGGGCCTTTCGTGATTTTTTTAAAAGTTTTTTGTAAAGGGTAGACAATAAGCGTATGGAAAACGGAGTGGAAAATGGCTTATTGCCCGATAGCGACCAACTAGGATCGCGTGAAAATCAAATGGGCAGCAGCACAGACGGTGAGGGCGAAGGCGAGGGCGATTCGACGCCTCAGCCGCAACAAACAACAAATGACGATGTAAGTGATGGCGAAGTGGATGGGGAGCGCGATTTGTCTGTGTCGGATGCGGCTGAGGCAGAAGCCGAAGCAGAAGCGGACGCAGAGGTAGCCCCAGCTGAAAATGTACCACCGTGTAGAATCTCCATTTTGGAGGACAGTCTGTGCGAAAAAGACGTTGATAGCGATGTGCCCGATGACGAGAATGATGATGAGGTGCGTGTCGTTTACGGCTATAAGGAAAAGTGAACTTTTCCATTTGGCCACACAATATTTTGTTCGAATTACTTTAAATATATGTTTTTGGGCACAGGCCAAAGAGAACTACGAGGGATTCAACGGCACTGGACGCACAGTCACATTACAAACGTTAATGGCCGCGAATGTCCTGCAGCCCGGAAAATCGCTGATGACTATTGATTATCTTGGGCAAAAATTTGTGGGCGATTTACTGTCGGATGGTAAAATAAAATCACAAGAGACTGAAACCATATTTCTAACACCCAGTGCGTGGGCTATGCACTGCAAGCGTATCATAAACCCCGAAAAGAAAAGTGGCTGCGGTTGGGCATCCGTCAAGTATAAAGGGAAGAAACTTGATGCCTATAAAAATAGCTATTTGAGAAAATGTGCTTTGCAAAAGGAGTCGACACCTGAAGACGGTGACCCAGGTAACCAATATTAGGCAGTAATTTGCTTATTAAGTACTGTCACTACTTAAAATGTAGCATGTGTTATAAAGTCCATAATCATACTATACTATGCTGGCAAATACAGGGAAAGGTCAACTAACGGACAACTCCCATTGACATCCTTTTTAGGTCATTTATGTCCTTTGTTTTTCAAAATAATGCCCTTGTGACTAATGAAAATTGCATAATTTGTTTTCTTTTTTAACAGATGCAGAACGCAAGACCGATTCGCCAGATCTTGTTATAAAACGGGCAGTATTTCCGCACAATACTGTAGCCAATCGCAATATAATTCAGTAAGTTTTCAAATAGTTTTTAGTAAAATATGATCGATTAATGTGGTTTTTACAGTGATGCCAATATGCTGATTGAGGCCGTTCCATTCACGTCGGTTGGCAAATTACAACCATTTATGTTAAGCATCACCTCCTCCGCTCTGTTGTTGGCTGACTTTCACTGCCATTTGACGGTGCGGGAGGTTTGCGGCTATCTGGGTGGCACTTGGGACATGAACACGCACAGTGAGTCCGGCCTCAAGAATTGATCATGTTTGTCTGGTGGCATGTTCAACTGTTTACTATATTGCAGCATTGACAATCACGAAAACATATCCATGTCGTAATACACGCTTCGATCGCCAACGTGCCGGGGAAGTAGAGCGTGATATACAAAAGATGATGGTACAAGATCAAGTACTGCTCGTTGGCTGGTATCATTCGCATCCCAAGTTTCAAGCTGAACCAACTCTACGCGATTGCGACGCACAGCTCGACTATCAAATACGTATGCGTGGCGTTAGTGATCTCACGTATACGCCATGTGTTTCATTAATTATTTGTAAGTGTGCTAAATTTTATATTAAAACCATATTAAAATTGTTCTGCTTGTTTTTTAGCACCCTACTATGAAGAGAATCCTACTTTGGAATCGGTGGTCAAGTGTATATGGATAGTGCCACCAAATGAAAATAAACAGTCCATGGAATATGGACGACCTATGCTAATGCAATATTCTGTGCTGCCAGATAAAGAGATACCAGAGGAGGTGCGCACTGAAATACAGTCCTGCGTCGATTACTATACACAGTTTCGCGGCGAGATTGTCAAATTTCGAAATATTTACAGCAATGATGTAACCTACAACGAGAAATTAAAGAACACGCTCTATCCGAAATTTCCATCCAAGCAAAGTGATAAGGCGTTATGGAATTGGTTATGTGCCGTCTTGGACTGTGAGCAGGAGGACGATTTTATACCACCGAAAACCATTAAAATTATTGACAATGATAAAGACGACGTAGTAGTGAAAACGGAGACGCAGCCGCAAGCCGAATCAGTTAATGACATAAAACTGGAACAGCAGCCCAAGGAGGAGCCTTTAGGCGAGAGTATTCAAATGAATGCTGTTGATGATGTGGCACGCAAAGCAGAGGAGGAAACCTCCCTGCAAGCCGAACAGAGAGCCAGTGAATTGAAAGTAATGTCGCTACAGGAGCAGCTGTGCATGCCTTCGGGGCTTAATATGAATCCAGTGCGCATGTTGTCCCCGTTGGCCACGCCAAATCCTACGAATCACACGCCAGCTGCTGTTCCAACTGCCGTGGCGCCATCAATGCCGCTGAATGCAGCAGTAAGTCAACTACTTCCGCCACAGACGCCGGCTACAAACAGTGGACTTGGCGCTGCAGCACAGTCTGCCTCTCCGCGTGACAGCCCAACAAGCATACAGTTACAGTCGAATGCTGCTAGTCCCGCCAAGTTTGAGCTGCCAGTGCGTGCCTCGCCGTCGCCAGCCAAATCAGATGCCTCATCGCACACATCCCGCACACGCAATTCGCCAGCGCCAAGTCCAGGCAAGTTCAGTGTCAGTGATATTGCTCGAAATAGCCCGAGCATAACACCCAACAAATATGATTTGACCACACCGCTGGTACCGCCGTCAGCTGCGTGTTTGCCTACGGCCAACGATCTAATGGCGGCCAGCTTGGCACAGCTAGCTGGCCAATTGCCGCCCAATTTTCTTCAAGCCGATTTAGCAGCACTTTTTCAACAGCAACGCAAAGATTATGGCAGCTCGTCGCTCAATCAACTGGCTGCAGCGGCAGCCAAAGTTGGTGGCTCAAAGCAGACCAGCAATGCGGCGGCGCTGGGCAATCTGAGTGATCCCAATGTAGCAGCGGCAGTAGCTGCCTATTCTAACAGTTTCAACATGCCACTGCCGTCAGGCAGCAATAACAGCGGAAGTGGCAGCAATAACAATAGTAATAATAATGCCGGCAGCAAATCAAAGATGGATCGCTCCAAGTCTTCAGCTTCCTCGTCTTCATCCAACTCAAGTACATCTTCAAATTCTTACAAAACAAAGCTAATGAAAGAACTGGACGAGCTCAAGAATGACCCTTTAAAGATGAGCGAACTGATACGCTCGCCCGAGTATGCTGCGCTGCTGCTGCAGCAGGCAGAGGCCTTGGGCGCTACTACACTGGGAACCCTGGGATTTAGCTCAGATTTGAATTATCTAACGGGCAATCAACAAGTTGCAAATCCAACAAGCAGCAAATCTTCAAAATCCACATCAGCAACAGCGTCGTCAGCTTCGGCAGCAGCAGCTGCGGCTGCTCTCAGCGCCGACTACAACAATCTAATACAAGCATCCAAACTTTTGGGCTATGATTCCTACATGCAACAGCAGAGCAAGCAAAGCAATGATTTAAACATGTTCCTACAGCAACAAATGGCTGCAGTTGCGGCTGCATCGATACCGCCGCCGCCTGTTGCTAGTAGCAGCAGTTCCAAAAAACAGCAGCAACAGCAGCAACAGCAACAACAGCAACAACAGCTTCAACAGCAATCTGCAGCTCAGGCGGACTACACAGCACTGCTGCAGACCTATACAAAACTATTTGATCCGAATAATCAGTTTGCCGCTGCTATGGCCTCAACTGGCAACAAACACATGAGCGGTGCACACAATGAGTTATCCGCTTTACTTGCTGCTGGCGCTGGTGGCATGGCCACGACTGGTGGCGGCGGCGCTGTCAGTTTGAAGCAAAAGCAAAAGGATATGCAGTCTGATATGCTTAATCAGCTGCTGCAATTGGAAAAGCAGGATTCTGAGATTAAGGCGCTATTATATCGCCAGAATAAGGCGGCTGCTGATCTGGATGCGCTCTTTGCAACGCCATCGGGTGCTGCTGCTGCTGTGGCAGCTGCCGCGGGCAATGCCTCGAAATCAGGCAGCAGCAGCTCAGCATCAGCAGCTGGCGGAATAGCAACAGGTGTACCATCTCCATCAACACTATCGAATGCTTACTACAATGCACTTGCGCAGGAGAAAGTGCAAGATTATACAGCATTCTTTCAACAGCAGCACGGAAAGTACGGAATTCCGGATCCACTGTCAAAGTCTACGCTAGCGGCTAATAATATGTTTATGTCACCATCGGCGCTGTTTAAAATACAGCAAGAATCCCTATCGGCCATGATGATGAAGCCGCCAAAATCAACCACGCCGTCGTCAGCGCGTACCAGAGAGTCGTCAGCCTCTCCGGCACTGGAACGCCTCACGCCCACCAAGTCCATCACGAGCAGCGCCAGTGGCGGCAATTCAAACTCCGGCAGCAAATACAATTTTAGTGCCGTCGATTTGGCCATATCAAGCGTGCCCTCGAACACGCCATCTCCAGCGCCATCTGATGGCAGCAGCGGATCCTCGCATCGGCGTCCTTCACCAGACTTGAGCCGCCTTTATAGCGAATTGGCGCCTCCGGGTGCACTTCTGGGAAATGCCTTGCCGAAAAAGCGCATGGAGTTTGCCTCGGTAGCCGATTTGGCTGCGCCGCCGCCGGCCAAGATACCGAAAAATAATGTGGGCGATGATGTTTTAAATTTATCACACGATTAGGAGAGGCAATTTGGGTGCTGCTCCTATCAACCGCATGTCCCAGTGAATGCAGTATTTCCTTATCAGTATCTACCCTTAAATGCACCAGAGCATTCAATTATATATATATATATAGCATGTCACGCGAATCTCCTAAGCTCCAAGTAAAAGGCAAATTAATAATTGAAATTGTAAACACCTGTTAAATAACAATCGCATTCTACTATAAATTGAGATTGTGGACACACGAGCATTTGTTGCAGGAGATTGTATGTACAATGAAATAGAATTAGAAGAGGTGAAAAAAGAGTATAGTATTTGGAGAGTTGCATTTGAAACCTGTTTAAGAGCAATTGCATCTGCCTAGAGGAACATATTTTCTATCCGATATAAACACCACAAAACACTCGATGACATTCACATACTGCATTGCTGGTCATCATTGTAACAAATTTTATATACTTGTTTTAAAATGAAAACAAAACTTACCAGAAATCTGTAGATAAATGTACGCCGCATTTATTCCATAAACTGTTGTTGGCTGCAACTGGAATATGCAAGTCTCTTAAGCGCTTGATGTCTTTAAACATATTATTTATAAACTATTTTAGGTTTAATTACTGCACAAAGGTACTTTAAGTATTTTAAAATAGTACATATACGGACAAACATACATTATAAACTGTAATACACGTAATATATGTACTGCATAATTTCCAATTAACTTTGCCGAAATAAAATATATAAACTAGGTTTTTAGTTTACAATATTAAATAATAAATATAGTAAAATGTATTATTTTCCTATCATATGCTCTCTGAAACCAACCCATTCGACATTTGTTGCTCTTGTCGATTTGTCGTTAGGGGTCAAAATACCGGTTCGAATTTTTGTTATGAACCATTTGAATGAATCTAGAACCAGCAGAACTGCTATGCAAAATATGATATTAGTAGCTTGTTGTTGTTTGCGCAGTATATCGATTTGGAGATCATAACAAAAAAACAACAACATGGAGAAGTGTGGCTGTGATAAAGATGCATAGGTAACTAGGAACAGGTGTTTACGTGCCGTTTAGCTCTTTGGGGGACCGGCTTACCGTGCCGACTAGTTTCCACAGCAAATAATCAAGACGAGATATCTGAAAACAAGCTATTCCAATAAAGGTGGGCTCGACTCAATATTACCCTGAATATATATGCTCTGCTTACAAGTCGGCATAGGTCGGTAGCTGGTTGTTACCAAATCCTAGTATGCTCTTTTCATTTCTGCTATAGGGTATTAAAGACAACAGACACAGTTCATATAAATAGCAGCGATCTTGGCTCGGGACACATTAGTCTGTTATTCTCTCCCTCCGCTAAACACATGTCGCAATACAAGGTAAATCCAATGCGTAAAGTTCTCTTAATATAAGAAAATAGTGGAAATAAAAAGATACTTTCAAAGAGATGACAAATATATTTAAAAATGTGTCTTAACCAAATCGGACAACACCTCCCATATAATCCCTAATCAGGAACTATTCGGAAATGATTTTTTTTCGGTTTTCTGTGTGTGATTTACTAAACCAGGCATATAGCACTAAAATAGCGAATGCCTTGCATTTTCTAGTATTTAACAGGTTTTGGCGGCCATTTCTCGTCAGAGGACGAACGCTGCCCCAACTCCCTACCAGTTGCTCAGAATTCGCCACAGCAGTGCCCCTATGGACTCTACGCGGAACAGGTATCTGGTTCCGCATTCACTGCGCCACGATCTGAAAATGTGCGAACTTGGCTTTATAGGAAACTGCCCAGTGCCGTTCACAAGCCCTTTCAACCGTTTAGCGGTGCGAAATATTTGAGCAACAACTGGGGTGAGCAGCCTCCAAATCCTAACCAGGTATGGGGAGAGTTAAGCCTTGTTGCACAACATTTTATGAGCTTGACTTTTATCTATAAATGGTCAGATGCGCTGGAAACCATTTGATATACCGCCACGGAATCAAAAAAGCGTTACATTTGTTGAGGGACTTCACACGGTTTGCGGTGCCGGCGATATAAGAGCACGGCACGGCTTGGCCATCCACATCTACCTATGCAATGTGTCTATGGACGACTCTGCTTTCTACAACAGCGATGGTGATTTCCTCATAGGTAGGATAAACGCTTATAATTATATTTTTTGATTTGTAATAATAAATGGATTTTCAGTGCCACAAGAGGGCATTCTGGATATAACAACCGAGCTTGGTCGAATGACGGTGGCTCCAAATGAAATCTGTGTCATTCCTCAAGGCATACGTTTTGCCGTAAGGGTCAAGTCACCGAGTAGGTGAGTGTGTATATTGTACATACAAGCATCTCTTGTAATATGTAATAAATTTTAAATGTGGTTTTAAAAACTTTAGGGGTTACATACTTGAGGTTTTCGATGGACATTTCTGTTTGCCCGACCTGGGTCCTATTGGGGCAAATGGCTTAGCCAATCCAAGGGACTTTGAAACACCAGTTGCTTGGTTTGATAATAGGGATTTTAAGGGTAAGTTAAGTGCTCCTTTTCCACATGGTTTAATTAATTTCAGTTTGATTTATTTATAGAGTTTCGCGTGATTTCCAAGTACCATGGCAGCCTGTTTGTGGCAGAACAAAAACACACCGTTTTTGATGTAGTTGCCTGGCATGGCAATTATGTGCCATACAAATACGATCTATCGAAATTTATGGTAATTAATTCGGTTAGCTTTGATCACTGTGATCCCAGTATTTTTACGGTGCTTACCTGCCCAAGCTTAAGGCCGGGTACTGCCATAGCCGATTTTGTTATTTTCCCTCCGCGCTGGTCTGTCCAGGAGCACACTTTCCGTCCGCCCTATTATCACAGTCAGTATTATTGTTTTTGTAAGCAATCCACTTGTCAGTGAGTAAAACAAAAATTCTTGAAGGAAATTGCATGAGCGAATTCATGGGTCTCATACTGGGCCGCTACGAGGCCAAGGAGGAGGGCTTTGCTGCTGGTGGTGCTACTCTACACTCGATGATGACTCCGCATGGTCCAGATGCCAAATGCTTTGAGGGTGCTTCGAATGCTGAACTTAAGCCTGAACGCATTGCCGAGGGAACACAGGTTTGTGGGTTTTTTTATCTGCCATGTCTAACACTTAAAATGTACACTTTTCATTTGAATTTTATAGGCATTTATGTTCGAGTCGTCACTTAGTTTGGCCGTTACTAAATGGGGCGTAGAGACGTGCCAGAAATTGGATGCTCAGTACTACGAATGCTGGCAGGCGCTTAAAAATAACTTTAAAATTGATAATTGATGGGTTACAGGCGGTTGCAGACAGTCGAGGAAGGGTTACGGGTTTAAGCTTACATTTATTTAAGTATTTTGCAATAAAAATGTCCGATAGACATTAATAAATGTATAGGTTACAACCGTGTGACACGATCGCTCCGTTATTTGTTCGTAGAGCAGCTCAGGCCTAGAGCCTAAATGAGATGCTAGGAGCCGAGCGAGGGCTCCGATTGCTCAACACTTGACTGCCATTTAATCGACAGACGCACAACTGGTTGCAATTGATCTGCACTGTTTCTGTGACCTTCGACAGCGCAGAGGCTTTGTGCGAGGTGGTAACATTATCGTCGGATCGCCGGCTGTATAAGCATTTGGTAGCACAGTTACAGGAGCCTGTCCTCATGTTCATGGGCATGTTTGGAAACTTCAACAAGGACAAGTCGCCACCTCTAGTCTTTGAGCAGCAACCATTTGAAGAATCCACAGTACTTATTAGATCTGGTGCCCAGTCGTTGATCATTAGCGCTCGCATTTCGGGTTGCAATTGCTTGGTTAGCCAATAGGTTCGCATGTCGCCCTTGCCCTGAAAGTGAAAGCATCTATTTAGGATGGGATACTATTTTAAATTATTAATATTCTACTTTAATGCTGGTCAGGCCTCGCTCGACGCATATGTAGCCTCCAACAGCTTGCAGCAATTGATAGGTCTCCTCCGATATGTGGATCTTCATCGCTTCGCCGGTACTCTCCATGCGCGAGGCCGTGTTGACAGTGTCCCCAAACAGGCAATATCGTGGCATCTATTGGAGTATGTATTTAGAAAAGAACTTTCCAGTCATAAAAAGCTCAGAAAGTTTACCTTCTGCCCAACGACACCAGCTGCGCAGGGACCAGAATGTATACCAATACGAAATTGCACCGTTTCTGTTGGTTTATGTCGAATTTTAAGATTGCCAACAGTTTCAAGCAAGTGAAGCGCTAATGAGGCTATCTCGCCGGCGTGACGATTGCCATTTTTTAAAGGTAGCCCAGATACTACCATATACGCGTCTCCAATCGTTTCCACCTTATATTAAAAGGTAAGAATAAGAGCTTATAAAAATGAAAATCGTTTACCTTATAAACATCGTAATTGGATATTATGGAATCGCAGCATGTATACAAATCGTTCAGCATTTCGACAACTTCAAATGGAGTGCTGGTAGTACAGAGTTCAGTGAAGCCGACTATATCGCTAAATAGAATAGTCACACAATCAAAGCATTCGGCCTTAACAGGATCGCCACTTTTTAACAATTCTGCAACCGTTCTAAAAATAAATTATAATAAATCAATTAAATCGATATTTTATTTGTTTTGGGTAGTGCATTGGAAATCCTCTTACTTGGGCAGCATTTGATACAAAAGCATATCAGTTTTCTTTTTCTCCTCGTATAGTAAATTGGTTCGTTCCTGGACGAGGCCCTCCAAATTGTATGCATATTTCTCCATTATTGCGAGCATGTTATCAAATATGTTTGGTTTTCTAAAAAGCACATGGGTTTAAACACATTTCGAACAAATAATTCAATTGTTTAAACTAACAATCCAGCTTGAAGTTCTTTTAAATGCATTCGGACCAGTCTAATGTCAGGGCGTACTTCGGGATCCTCATCCCAACAAAGACGCAAGCAGTTACGAATGTAATTTGGTATATTTAAAGTATTAAGGGCTGGCCGAAATACGCCGTGCTGCAGCAGATCAGGACTTTTAACGAATTTTATGATCTCTAAAAGGAAAGTGTCAATGATATTTTTAATAGAGTTTAGTTTTTCAAATACCTTCTTTTGTATACGCAGTCTCCCCCCAGGGTCCCTTTCGGCCAATCATCTCGTATAGTAAAATGCCAAAGGAATAAATATCGCCCTTCTGTGATCCACGGGCTGGCCGGAACGAGTTGCGTAAAAGTTCGGGCGCCATAGAGAGGGCACGTTTTAATTCCAGTTCCGTTCTATAAAACAAAATTGATTTAAATTTAAGTGGGAATAGAGTAGAGCTGAATACAGCGAGAAGAGTTATCCGTACTTGTTTGGCTCATCCTGACCCGCCTTTAGTTCGTGAAGACCAAAATCTGAGATTTGGCAAACCCATCTTGAGTCGATTAGGCAGTTACTCGATCGTAAGTTTCCATGAGAAATAATCTCCGAGTCGTGCAAGTAAATAAGCCCTTTAAGTATATCTGACACCAATGAAGAAATGAACATATGATCCAAATGCAGATCTTCGTTTGCAAGAACATCTTCTAGGCTTCCTCGCGCACAATATGTTGTGAATATTATGACAGATCCATGATCAATTGATGCCCCAATAAAATTAATTATGTTTTCATGTCGAACCTGAAGTATATGGTGATTCATTTTCATCCCATATAAGCATACGAGTACTGGTATATATACGCTCACCTCTCGCATCAATTTTAATTCCTTACGAATAGAACGAGTTATGTCCACATTCTTTTTATGAATTTTTTTCATGGCGACAATATTACCACGAAAAAGAGCTACAGCCAAAATAATTAAATATTTGTATTACATTTCACTTCATATAAAGTATGTGAGATTACTTACCAATGTTTGTGAATGACCTTTTGTTCGGCTCCCCAACAACTAAAATACTTTGACGGCAAATTTGGACCTAAGATGTGGGAGATCACATTTAAGTAATTAAAGTTATTATGTTACAAGGTATTTTCTAGCGTATGACATACAATATTCTTATGGCTTGGGTTGTTATATTCGCCCAAGTTTATCACAGTGACCTCTTTCATGTCCACCTTCCACAATAAACCAGCCAATGTCTGTTCATAGCGGTAATGCCTTTAAATATGTTCATTCATTGTCAATAGATTTATAAAATTGATCGGGTTTACTTGAACAACAGGGCGATGGCAACGACCAATACGAATGCAAATAATGGTGCAGTGACCACGTATCGCCAATCCAGCTTTTTGCGTGGACACAACTCGCCATAGAAACCGCACATTGGCTCCGCAAGCGGCGGTCGACCGTTGAGCCACTGAATAGGTCTTCCATTTTTAATATACCGAAATTCCTTAATAGTAGGGAAGAATCATAATTAACAAAGCAAGTTATAATCTAGTTATAATCTGAATCGCTTACCGGTATAACAGAGTCTTTATTGTAGACAAAAAATCCAACTGGCTGCATGGACATTTTAGCTAGCGAATTACCAGATCCTCCGTTTGCATCGCTCTGAAGTGTTATTACAGTGTAGTTGCCCTCCGCATCGCCATTTGAGTCAATGAATACCTGAGGAAAAAACGGACTGTTAATAGAGCTCGAGTCGTTATTCAACATCAATTGGTATTCATACATCAAAGCCCTGAATCGAGTGATATGATCTATTGAATATGTGACTCATAACAAGATTTCCATCGTTTATATCGCCGCCCAGCTGGAGTATTTCCGTAATGGCACGTGCATAGATCATCACGCTATCATACAGATGTAGACCGTATATGGGAACCTAGATAGATATGTGTGTGCAAATTTATGGAAGGTAGAATGAGGGATCATGGATAACATACCGAAATATTCTCGAAAACTCTTTGATGGTAGGGCACCAGAAATGGAGCTTTACGCGCATACTCTTTGATTTTGGCACAAATGTCACTAGAATTATAGGTTCAAATTTATTATTTAATATTTAGCATGTACATTTTATTTAGCAAAACACATTTAAACAGTTTTCGTTTACTGTTCTGCAATATATTAACGGGAATATTTACTAAAAATTAAAATTAACAAAATCAATTATAGTGATTACTAGTACCCAAACCTTTTATTACCCATTGAAACATTCAGACATACCTCATACACACACACATCTTATATTTTCCCACACATACAGAGAAAGTAATTTGAATCAGTTAAGCACAACATTAACCTATTCACCCATTATTATTAATGGTTAAATTAGTATGAAAATAATAAAAAGAATATACATAAAAGACTTTTATAGGAGATGTTAAATAGCAATTACCGAATATGAGGGTTTTGTGGATATGTCATGCTTATTTTGATAACTGAACGAAATGAGATTTTATCCAGTGATTTGCTCTTTTCTTTTCTAATATAAGGATCTAAGTAATCTGCAATAAGAGGGGGCATGCATTAAACCTCAAGGGCAGTTAGTGGTGGTTAGTTTTTCAATTAACTTACTACGTTCCATTATATTGACACGATTCGCATTATAGATCTCATCGTCCACAGATACAACAATGTAAGCTCCGCTTTCGAGAAGTCCACGATTTTGCAGGCAGCGCACAAAGTCCACCATAGCAATATGCTCTCCGATAAATACGTAAACTAGTTGATGTATTAATAATGTACAGCTTAGTTTCTATATAAAGCTTATTTTCGATAAAATTCATGGAATTTTTAGCAGAAAAATGGCAGCATATAAATACTTACTGCGTGTCGTTGTGTAAGTCTCGTCAATAATACTTTCGATTTGTGATAATGTTTTCTTAATGGGTATGTAATCCGATATGTATTTAAAATGCGTTATGGTAAAGTTTCTCGATTCAGCAAGTTCCTGTCATTGTAAAAAGTGTTAAATTTATTTCTATAGATTTTAAGATGTATTACCTGAATAGCGCTAGCCACGTCGGAACCCCAAATGGGCTTTGAACTAACCACAATTGCAAATTTTTTCCAATCATATGCATTCAACAGGCTTATGACACTTTTAGAGACCTATGCTTGTGTATTCACATTTAATTTGTCAAAGTAATTAGAATATCATGCATATAAATATATCTACCTTCGAAGCTGGGGCGAGGGTTCGTGCAAAGGTGGGAAAGGTACTCTTATTGGAAACAATTGAGTCAGAGCATTTCTAAAGTGTTTTATTTTTAGATATTTTTATGCGGTTTATTCAAAATTGAAAATAAGATCTACTTACAAATGAAAGCATTGGGATATTCCAGGCGGCGGCCAGCAACGCCTCAGTTGTGCAGCTTTCATCGGGTCCTATGAAAGCCTTCACCCTTCTTTCCCTCAGTTCTGTCATAAGTCTGGTAAAATTAAGAAAAAGGTGGCTAAAGGTTTACTGTGAGTGTTGCATATAATTGAACTATACCTTAAGGGTTTCACTCGATATGCACTGGTTGTGTGACCTATGTCAAATGGAATAAATTTAAGTGTCTTGCCTGGCAGCAAATTCACGTTTTTATTGACATCCTCCACAGCAAGCGGCAGACCGCCAAGAGTTACCTGTTGATAAAAACATACAATTTAGTAAAGGATTAAATACCGCCAAACTTTATTCGTAAATTTGCTAAGGTTTTGAATTTCTTATCTCTAGACTTTCCCTTAACGTGATTAATAAACGAACAGATTAGGAAGATTTCTATCAATGGAGTGTCAAAAAAAAACCTTAGCTCGAGAGACTGTATAATATATATATTTAGAATTTTATGTTAGCGGAATTTGGAACATTTCAAAACCAAGTGCATGATTGACTGCTTGAGCGTAGCTGCGTAGCTCATGATTTTCAATATTTTCAGTTAGCTGCAGCGCATTTGCCAATTTATTATGATAACTTATAGCAATGCAGAACGAAACGATAAATAATATCACCTGTAACAGAAAGAGTGTTATACTGAAGAGCAGAATCATATTGGATAGTTCGTCCTTGGCTAGACACTCCCATAGGCTAAATGCGTGCTGTCCGAGTTCTTGCAACACCTTCAAACTCCAGGGAAGCAGCATCACGAAGCTAAGTCGTAGCCAAGCCTGCAGGCTTGCTTCACATAGTCGACAAAGAAAATCATTACATGGACCTCCCGAATGTATGTATAATATGCCATATCCATAATAGCATGTGCTTAACGCTAATCCTGTGTATAATAGACTATAGGCCAGTTCGGAAAGTATGTCCTGATAGTCAAGATCATGAATTCGACGTATTATGCACAACAGTTGGGTTGTTTGCAGAAAAATAAAAATCCAGAGAATTCGCTTTGCCAGCAGAGCACCCATTATATATTTAAAGCTGCTAAGCATGTTATTCGTAAGATTTTTAAATTGAATACCAAAAATATGAAAGTTTAATCAACTACTACTAAAGTTGTAATATTTGTTCGAAACCTGAGATCAGTAATTAATTTACGTTTGGGTAGTTGTTTGGTTCTTGATTGATTGCTGTTTCGAAAAAACTATAATTGAACAGACGAAACTCATCAGTAATCCATAAATAGCAAAATTTAAGAAGTGCGTCATGTTGTCAACTAATCTCAGAACCTGACGAGCTCTTTAAGCAGCTCAACAATATAATTTGTATATTAAAAATATGTGCATGCTTTCATATTCATATTTATATGAATTATTCTGTGACATCCGCGCATTCAGCTGCGCTGCATATAGAAGTTGCTACAAAGGGCTTTTGTTGCCGCTTTAAAACGTAGAAGCTAGTGTGCAGCCTTTAGGTAGTTACAGGTGAGGCTGGCTTTGGACTCGTCGTCGCCATGACAATTTAACTGTAAAGAGTAGTTCGTTATGGGAATTTAACTTTAAGTCTATCTTTAGTTTCTCCAGTTTCATATCATGTGCATGTTTAAGTGGACGGGATTGTGGCTTCGTTTAATTTGGTTGACTGAGTGTATAAACCAAAGCCAAGATTGGCCCATTTAATGGCCATTGACATGCCAACTTATTGATAAAAATAAGGCATACTTTTAACTTTTTTTTTATTATATTTAAGTGAAGTTTATCATGGCAAAATATTTAAATTGTTTTGGGTAAAACTAGAAAAGTTATTCCATTTGAGTTTAGCCTTTGATAAGGACTTGCACAGCTTTAAGATTTGTTGCATGAAATCAATATATTTATTTGGCTAACATCGACAAATTAGTTATCTAAGTGATCCAGGCACTTATGCAAGGACCTCCTCCACCCACGACATAGGAGACGCCCCAGAGTCCCTCGGGACTTATCCTTAAGATTCGTATATAGACATAGGTCAAAATTTCCCACCCCTATAACTCGGCCAAAACTTAACTGATTTTCATGAGTCTTGGCTTTTTGTACATAGTTTTTCCTCTAGAATAATCTGGCATTCCAATCTGAATACATAGTTTTTAGTCGAAAGTCATGTCAAAATCTTACCCCTAAGATTTGTATATAGACATAGGTCGATATTTCCCACCCCCATAACTCTGTCAAAATTCATCCGATTTTCATGAGTCTTGGCATTTTTGTACATAGTTTTTCCTCTAGATAAAAGTGGCATTCAAATCTGAATACATAATTTTTAGTCGAAATTCATGTCAAAATCTTATCCCTAAGATTCGTATATAGACATAGGTCGAAATTTCCCACCCCTATAACTCGGCCAAAACTCAACCGATTTTCATGAGTCTTGGCTTTTTGTACATAGTTTTCCCTCTAGATTAAACTGGCATTCAAATCTGAATACATATTTTTAGTCGAAATTCATGTCAAAATCTTACCCCTAAGATTTGTATATAGACATAGGTCGATATTTCCCACCCCCATAACTCGGTCAAAACTCAACCGATTTTCATGAGTCTTGGCTTTTTGTACATAGTTTTCCCTCTAGATAAATCTGGCATTCAAATCTGAATACATAATTTTTAGTCGAAATTCATGTCAAAATCTTATCCCTAAGATTCGTATATAGACATAGGTCGAAATTTCCCACCCCTATAACTCGGTCAAAACTCAACCGATTTTCATGAGTCTTGGCTTTTTGTACATAGTTTTCCCTCTAGATTAAATCTGGCATTCAAATCTGAATACATAATTTTTAGTCGAAATTCATGTCAAAATCTTACCCCTAGATTCCTATATAGACATAGGTCGAAATTTCCCACCCCTATAACTCGGTCAAAACTCAACCGATTTTCATGAGTCTTGGCTTTTTGTACATAGTTTTCCCTCTAGATAAATCTGGCATTCAAATCTGAATACATAATTTTTAGTCGAAATTCATGTCAAAACCTTATCCCTAAGATTCGCATATAGACATAGGTCTAAATTTCCCACCCCCATAACTCGGCCAAAACTCAACCGATTTTCATGAGTCTTGGCTTTTTGTACATAGTTTTCCCTCTAGAATAAATCTGGCATTGAAATCTGAATCCATTATTTTTAGTCGAAATTCATGTCAAAACCTTACCCCTAAGACTTCCTTATATAGACATAGGTCGAAATTTCCCACCCCTATAACTCGGCCAAAACTCAACCGATTTTCATGAGTCTTGGCTTTTTGTACATAGTTTTCCCTCTAGATAAATCTGGCATTCAAATCTGAATACATACTTTTTAGTCGAAATTCATGTCAAAATCTTATTCCTAAGATTCGTATATAACATAGGTCGATTCCCACTAACCGATCAACCGACATAGTCCTTGTACTGCCATAATCTGAATCCCGATTCATGTCAAAATCTTATCCTTAAGACATCCTTATATAGACATAGGTCAAAATTTCCCACCCCTATAACTCGGCCAAAACTCAACCGATTTTCATGAGTCTTGGCTTCTTGTACATAGTTTTCCCTCTTGAATAAATCTGGCATTCAAATCTGAATACATACTTTTTAGTCGAAATTCATGTCAAAATCTTACCCCTAGACTCCTACATAGACATAGGTCGATATTTCCCACCCCCATAACCCGGCCAAAACTCAACCGATTTTCATGAGTCTTGGCTTCTTGTACATAGTTTTCCCTCTTGATTAATCTGGCATTCAAATCTGAATACATAATTTTTAGTCGAAATTCATGTCAAAATCTTAGCCCTAGACTCCTATATAGACATAGGTTGAAATATCCCACCCCTATAACCCTGTCAAAACTCAACCGATTTTCATGAGTCTTGCTTGGCATTCTCTTTTGATACTATGATTCATTCGATTCCTATATAGACATAGGTTGAATATCCACCCCTATAACTCGGTCAAGATCAACGCTGAGTCTTGGGCATTCAAATCTGAATACATAATTTTTAGTCGAAATTCATGTCAAAATCTTATCCCTAAGATTTGTATATAGACATAGGTCGAAATTTCCCACCCCTATAAGTCGGCCAAAAATCAACCGATTTTCATGAGTCTTGGCTTTTTGTACATAGTTTTCCCTCTAGATAAATCTGGCATTTAAATCTGAATACATATTTTTTAGTCGAAATTCATGTCAAAATCTTATTCTTAAGATTCGTATATAGACATAGGTCGAAATTTCCCACCCCCATAACTCGGTCAAAACTCAACCGATTTTCATGAGTCTTGGCTTTTTGTACATAGTTTTCCCTCTAGATTAATCTGGCATTGAAATCTGAATACACATTTTTTAGTCGAAATTCATGTCAAAATTTTACCCCTGAGATTTGTATATAGACATAGGTCGTAATTTCCCACCCCCATAACTCTGTCAAAATTCATCCGATTTTCATGAGTCTTGGATTTTTGTACATAGTTTTCCCTCTAGATAAAAGTGGCATTCAAACGCCTTTAACGTTTGTTCACGATAAGTCCTGAGTACCAGGCTTGGCGAAATATCACCTAATCCAACTGTGTTGCAATAAAAATGTATGTTATTTTTGATTCAATACAATAAACATTTATAAAAAAAAAAAATAAACAAAATGCAACTGAACACAGGATACTGACTCGAATCTGTATCTATTTAAAAATTGAAATTAACAGTACCGAGAACAATATAATAAATTAATAATAGCTTTATCCTTTAAATAACAAAACTAAGTTCACTTTATAATATTATTATTATTGTTATTAATAATAATAATTAATATAATTTTTAATATTTTTATATTAAGTAACGGATATCTCTGATGACTTACCCGCATTTGAGAGTATTCAGCCAGGAATCCAATATTTATTATGTCTTTCGAGGCTGTTGTGTAGTTCCTTTGAGATGACAGCAGTGCAGTAGCTGCCACAAGGAAGAGGCGGATATTGCGAAAAATGCGATTGTGTGTCATGTTAACCAGACACATTAAAGCGGAAAACGCGGAGTTAATGGCAGTAAAGTTAAGTAAGCCGCGTGACACAGACACCGGGTTCAACCAAGTGGGACAGAGCTTTGAGAAGGTTTACGAGTCAAGAACCGCACTGAAAATTGCACATTTGACGCGAATAGATTCAAACGTGACTTTAGGCCACATCTGAGCGTTAAATTTCAAAAGCCGCAACAGTTTTCACTTGTTGCTCTGCGAGCCGTTGTTGTTCGACCGTTTATCCCAATGAGACTGCTGCTCGGCAAATGGCTGCCTGGTCCTTTTATGCCGTCAACTTCGTGGGTACACTTCGGCTTGGTTCCGGCATCAAATGGGGACTGTGGTTGTGGGCGGTCTGCGCGCCAAAATGAAATGGCGTTCGACTGACAGGAGCTGCTGTGGCTAAATTTGCAAGCGTGGGTGCTGGGTATTGACCTGGGTCACAGCGATTTTGTCGGTTTGGTGATCTAAACTAAAAAAAAAATGTATTGCTCTGTCAAGATTTTAATTAAAAGGGACCCAACAGTTAATTTTTTTTTGCCGTAATCGACTTGTTAGTACGAAAATTTGTAAAGTGTTTAAACTCACATGATTTTAATTTATATTATATTTGGATTCGTCGCGTGTCCTCCTCGCTTTGGGGCTTCATCGACGGTTTTAGCTCTTCTGTAATCCGTTTGTTTTGGAGCTTTTGGTTAAGAGCGTGGGCTTTCACCGGACGTGCTTAAGTTTGGACACTGGTACATTCGGTTGCATATCATTTGGTCTGGTTCACGGCCAAGGTCAGCTTCCACGGATTAGGCACTTTAGTGTCCTGATAATGTAACGCCCACGGGCATACTTACTATTTTTTAACACTTTTTGTAACGCTTACCATTCCTGTGCGTGCTAAAACTTCAGAGGGTTTTACATAACTAATCTGTGACGTAGTTAGCTATCATATGGTATTTTTTTGTATGTCTGATTTTAAACCAATATATTGAATTATTTTCAGAATCATTCACATGCTCAGGTTGGGAGATGTTTATATTCTACGCAGCGAATTAAGACAAGTGTCTATGTGGACTCGAATGACATTTGTATTTCTGCGAATTTAATTGATTTTACTTATGCGCTTCATGTCAAGTGTCAAGGAAATTAAAATCACCATGTCATTCTCGTATAACGACATTAGAGTACATCACAACACCAGCCTACAAATTGTTTTGTTCTTGGAAAGAAAATAATTCAATACACATTGACATTAACTCATCCAATTGAAACTTATTTCCGATTAGCAATATATGCTGTACCCAAGTGAAAGCCCAAATTGATTTTACTGTTGATGGTATAATTGATTCAGCTAGAAACACAGACAAATAAAGCCGAAGGGATCAAGAATTTTGCATTATTGATAGTGGGCAAGTGCTTCCTTGTTGATAACGCCTGCATAGCTTGTATACTTTGGTGAGGTGCCATTTAGGGCAATAAATTGCTCTGCAACCTCAACGGCAACGCGGACTTGTGCCTCTGCAGTGCTTGCGCCCAAGTGGGGCGTGGCCACAACTTTGGGATGATTGATGAGTGCTTTAGTGACCTGCGACTTGGGTGGTTCCTCGGGGAAGACATCGAAAGCTGCCCCAGCGCATTGGCCACTCTGCAGTGCATCCAGAACGGCCTGTTCATCAATGATGCCGCCACGTGCCACATTGATTACCTTAACGCCTTTCTTGCACTTTGCCAGCGACTTCGTAGATATCAGGTCTGTAGAACGAATGTTTAGAATGTGAGGTATTGGAAAAAAATCTATATAGCTGACTTCTGGTTGCCGGTATCAATGGGGTGTGCACAGTTATATAGTCTGCCAGCGGCCAAATCTGTTCCAAATCTAACTTTTCAATTCCAGCGGCCTTAGCTTCGTCCTCCGTGGTAATGGGATCATACCCAATTATCTATAGTTTTAGAGTCTTCTAGCTTATGTTAACAGATTGAAGAAAACTGATCTCTTACCCTCATGCCCCAAGTCTTCATGCGTATGGCCACTTCGCGTCCGATGCGGCCTAGGCCAAGCACCGCCAGGGTCTTGCCATAGAGCTCGGTGCCACTATAAAGCTTCCTGTCCCAACGACCCTCCTTCATGCTCTGACCGGCTGGCACGACGGGACGCGCCAGAGCGCCAATTAGGATGCACGTCAGTTCACAAGCCGAAATGGAATTGCCGCCTGGAGTGCTGAAAGTAAAGTATTTTCGTTAAACACACACTAAACACCAAACCGTGCCCAAAACAAAATACGCGCAGGGCGCGGGGGGCACTTGTTGTGACTAGACAGCGTTATGCAAATATCTAAAATACCGCGTACTCGCGTAGTATTCTTGGCAATCCAGCAGGCTCAACAGCAATAAGGGCCCGTCTCTCACTCTCTCTCCCTCTCCCTCCCACAGTTAGAGAAAATGCGGCCCGTCTAATTATGCGTGCCAAGCAGCATAATATGACCCCGTCGTTCAGGATGACAGCCAATCGGCCATTGTCGTTCAATGCGACAGTTGTTGTTTGGTTTTTTTTTCACGGGAAACATTCACTTACTTAAGGACGACGACATTATGCGCCGTTGCTGCAGCCACATCGATGTTGTCCACTCCAGCACCCGCACGACCCACAACCTTAAGGCTGCCAGCTCCAGCCGCCAGCACTTCCGCTGTTATTTTTGTATCCGAACGTACAATGGCAGCATCGAAGTTCTTTTTAGATAGAGATTATGTTAAAAAGCTGGTTAACAAGTATGAAAATGCATATAGTAATATACATACATACATATGTGTAAAGCGACATACATATGTACATATACGCATGGATGTATATACTTGTGAGTACATCCATACATACATACTAACTAAGGTGTTAATATGTATATATTTATAACAAAATACTAATTTCTTAACAAGCAGTAACTACATATATATGATGTGCATATACATACATACATACAAACATAACTGCATGCATATAAAAACATATATATGTACGTATATATGTATATGTGCACAGCCGTGTGGTAGCGGCCTGGAGAATCCCACCACAGCTAGTCATAGCTTAAGCTTAATATAACAATTGTTACTGAATTGGACTGAAATGACGGGAATGTAGCTTAAACATGTTCCTCTAGTTGGTAAAAAGATTCCTATATCCATATTTGACAAGAATTAGTCTGTACGTTCATCTTTGGGTAAGAATTAAAAGGCGTGCAGATGGTAAACAAAAATGCTTCTTACAACAGTTTTCCGCTAATTTTCCACAGTTGCAGGTGAATTTTTGGTTGACCAACAATCAGTAAGTCAGCCAATCACTCAGGAGAAACTGTTTTACAGACATTCTAATACTTAAAAAAATGCACGATTTAATATTGGGGCTAGGGCTATTATCGATAACAAATCTAGCGGTTTTTCTGCGGTATGGCAGCACACGTACTTTGTTAGTACATTGGGGCCTCTAAATGACGTAAATAATTCAATTTGAATGGTAAACATTTTTTTAAATTAATTGTTTAAATTAGCTGTATCGCCATAACTTGCGTAAATATTAAGTGTCTTTATATTAAGTATATGTAAATAGTAAATTTATTAAAGATAACTATAATCCTTTACAGGCCAGTGGGACAAACCAATTTATCATGTGGGTGGGCACACTAAGCTTCAACACTCGTAACACTGTGATTCAGATGGGACTTTGATAATATTAATATTAAATTTATAGGTCAAGTAGTACTAATATGCATTATCTACACCTACGAAAAACTTTGTAAGCTATGCGTTTTCGGTTTGAATGGCAACTGCTTTATTTTGTCTTCTAGTTCGAACTAGTTCAATGCCGAAGAAGAGGTCCAGCTTCATCTACCCAAATTTACTATAAAGTTTATTTATTGTGCTTCTGCATAGACTGCATAGTTAATCAGCATTTTATTGAAAAACAATTGTCAACATGAGCTCCATAAAATGTGAATCGACTGCGTCACTTTTGGTGGGCTGTCGGCTGCGTGTGCGCATGCGGAAAACTGGCAAATGGAAACTGGCTGAGATTGTGGGCATCAAGACGTCGGGTGAAGAGCGTCAGTACTATGTGCACTACCATGATTTTAATAAGAGACTAGACGAATGGGTTTCCGATGATGATCTGGACTTGAGCAAAGTTCAATTTGCTCGCCGTGCCAGCCACCAAATCGCTACTGGGTCGGGTGCCGAGATTTCTAAATTCCATTCTTGGCCGATCGCCAAAGAGCCACAGTTCAAGGTACCACAACAACCTGACGATGGCAATCCGCCTACCCATGTCAAGGGTGGAGCGTCGCAAAGACGCAGCAATCGTAAGCACGTGGTGGGCAACGAAGGAATCCTACAGGCTGCAGCAGGTGGCAACGAAAATGGATCGCAAGGTGGCACGAAGCCAAAGTCACGATCGGGATGCAGTACATTGAAGCATCAACATAATGTGGTAGCTCGTATGAAGAATGTTGAAATAATTGAGTTGGGTCGATATCGCATCAAACCCTGGTATTTCTCGCCATACCCTGAGGAGCTCTGTCTAATGGACTGCATCTATTTATGCGAGTTCTGCTTAAAGTATTGCAAGAGTCGTGTGTGCCTCGGACGGCACTTAATCAAATGCACTTTGAAGCATCCACCTGGCAATGAGATCTATCGCAAGGACTCAATATCTTTCTTCGAGATCGATGGTCGCAAGAACAAGGTGTATGCACAGAATTTATGCCTATTGGCTAAATTGTTTCTGGACCACAAGGTGCTCGACTTTGACACGGATCCGTTTCTGTTCTATGTGATGACAGAGTTTGACTCGCGCGGATTTCACATTGTCGGCTACTTTTCTAAGGAGAAGATCAGCGTCGAAGACTACAATCTGGCCTGTTTATTGACACTTCCACCGTATCAGCAAAAGGGCTACGGCAAGCTTCTCATTGAGTTCAGCTACGAACTGTCCAAATATGAGGGCAAAACCGGCACCCCAGAGAAGCCTCTTTCCGATTTGGGTCTGCTGTCGTATCGGTCATTTTGGGCGCAGGCTATACTCGAGCAGCTGGTCAACCAGAAGGCAGGAACGGATGGCGAGCGGCCCTCTATAACAATCAACGATATTTCCGAGCGTACGAGCATTAAAAGGGATGATGTAATCTACACACTGAAGAGGCTTAACCTAGTGACTTACTGTAAGGGTCAGCACATAGTCTGCATCAATCAAAATACTATCGATCAGCACAGGGCCGCAATGGAGAAGCGTAAAATAAGCATCGATTCTAAATGTTTGCAGTGGACCCCCAAAGACTGGTCCAAGACAATAAATCGGCTATACTAACCGTAAAGTCCAGAGTACAGCTCGAACCTTTTCCAAACGGAACTTCACTATAACCCACCGTATAGGAGATTATAGATTTGCAAGTAGAATATTAGATAAGTATGATTTTATTTGCGCCGTTCCACTGATTTCTTTTAATCAACAATTTTTTGAATTTAAGTGAAATGAAGAATCATGTATACATTCACATACAAGATTAAAGAAGTGTTATTTTAGCTCTGCGACGAAAAAAAATCCATGGGTTTGAGCTTTTTCAAACGAATGTTCATTACAGCTCATTTAATATGAAAGTAGAATATTAAGATAAATAATATTTAAAAGGTACATGTATAAGTTAAAAGGACAATAAGAGCATCTACTCTAATTGTACATGTTTCATTCAAAAATGTTGCAAATTTAATAGATATTAAGAATGGAAAATAGCAGGTATACACATACAATGTTGACAAAAAATTAATTTAACAACAAAATGAAGACTAGTCTTTAAATAGTTGGCAAAACAAAACCCGAATTCAATTCAATAAACAATAAAAAGTATTTAAACAATTTAATAAAGGTTCTATCAATGGGTATATTTGCACGATGCAGCAAGCTTGACAACAGCTATGTATACATTTATGTATGAAAGCCATAAACAGATAATTGTCGCATTTTTCATGTAAATCTAATTTTTAGCAAACACGTGTTTCCAACTCAAAAGCCGTTGACATACCGAACCACTTATTGCACACATTTACATAAAGTTATAAAATATGCAAGTATATATGTATGTATGTATGTTAATGCAAATGTTATGTAATTAGATTCCTACTCACCTTTACTTCCTTACAGAGCTCATCCACAGGCAGCTTCAGTTTGTATGTAACCTGAATATATAGAGCCACAAACCACAAGCACAATACATGAACGTAATTATATTATCTTTTATTATATACATATATGTTTATATATATGTAATCTATTTGTTGTAGCATCACATTTATGGACTTACATTGATGCCGTGCTCTTCTAGAAGCTCAACACACGACTTATCGACAGCGTCGCAGACCAGAACATTTTTAATATTCAACGGCATATTCGCAACAACAATTAAAGCAGTCTCAGAAATCTAAATGCAATTACTGCAATTTGTTGGATTAAAAAAACTGACACAAAGCACTTTTTGAAGCTCAAACGCGCTGCACTCGACGCACTGGCCTTATTAAGTCAACTGATTCGTCGAGCGAGAGTTAATAGGCAGCGAACCGGCTGGACACCACGGCGACGGCGACTGCGACTGCGGCTGTGTAAGCTCCGATCGGTGTCGATTATCAGCAACGGCGGCTCTCAGATGCGGAGTGAAAGCTCGCTCTCGCACTCTCCCAGACGCATGTCAACTTAGTATAGTGAAGTAAGCAGCGCATGTACGTACTTATCAATATATACTCTTATAAGTATATATTCAAGTATATACGTATGTACGCACAGTGCGAAAACCTGTGTCTGTGCGAAAACAAGCTTAACCCATCGAAGGCGACAAGGGTTCAAAGAAGTCGCAGGAATTTCACTCATCTACGTCACGAATGTTGCTCATAACAAGTTCATTTGCTGATAAGGCTAGTAAAGGAGATAAATACTAAAATCAAACTTGGATGTAGTTTGCTGAACTATGATAAGATAAGGCCGAGCTGCCAAGTTATTGTATTGAAATAAAATTAATTTTCAAGTAGCAATTGGCATTACTGAATTACGGACTTCCTAAATTACTAATTTTCTATATGTATGTATGTCAGGTCAAGCATGTGGAAGAAAGAACAATATTAATTGATGTTCAAATTTCAGTTATTTTAATTGGTTTTATTTGCAATTTAGCATTCATTTAACTACATACTCATATTTTTTGTAAATCATACTTTAAGTACTTTTATAAGTTTTTCAAACAAATCAACGGAAACCAAACGAACCTAGGGCAAATTGCAATTTTTCCCATTCGGAACTCAGAACAAACGTTTATAAAGAAATTCAGATATCATTAACTATTTACAAACGATTATGGTAAAGTTATCGGTTTTCATATACGTAAAAATATTTCTATATAAATTTGGATTGATATTTGCACAAATAGTTTCATATTCTGGTTTTGGTTGTGGTTTTAATTTCACCCATTTTGGTTTAATAATAATTGTAATTCGAATTTTCGACTATAGAACCTCAGGCGTGCATAAAAATTTGCCTTTTATTTCATTCACATTTTTCATTATAAATTTTTCCATATACTTATTGTTGTTAAAAAAATAATGCTTGCATTTATTAGAGTGGCTTTAAAGAAAGGGAGTCTTTAGTAAATTGAGTTTTAATGATGAAATATGAATTTCGTATTTGAAATGTTGTGTTATAGTAAGTCAACAAAGTTAAATATTTGTATTGTTGTTATTAATTTATTTTATTTATTTATAGTTTGGATTAGATTGAAATAATTGTAATATTCAAAATAAATCCTTTTAACATTACAAATTAATAATTTATTATTTTGTTTGTGTTTTATTATTTTTTTGCAAGGTAATTTTTTGTTAATTAGAGTACTATTGGAAAAGTTTCTTCCTTTACAAATTGTCAGTTGACGGTTTTTTCTTTTAAATTTTGTTATTTATAGCAGGATACATTTACATATTTATATATTTGTTTTTTTTTTATTGTGAGTTACCAGTTCTGTGAATTAAATACAATACACTCGTATGTATTCATATGAATAAATTTGTATAATTTACATATGTATAGCCATACTTAGTATATGTATATTTTATTGTTTTTTTTTTTTAATTTTTATTTTGTATATAATTTTTGGGTTCTTCAATTATTTACTTAAATATTCTTCCCTCCGTTCGTGTCCGCTTTTAACTTCAAGCTAATATTAAAAAGTAATTTTCAATATATTTAATTATAGCTAATAAATAAATTTGTTGCCACTTTATACAAGAACTGTTGGCGTACCGTTATTATTATATATATATATTTATTAATATATATATGGCTTTAGCATTCTGGCCATTCGCCCCGTACTATCAGGGTGGAAATCGTAAGCGCCCTTATTGCAAAATGAACTGGTCTCTTTTCTTTTCTTTTTTCTTTTTTATCCAAGTGATACAAAATGCTTCAAAGTGCAGGTCTATGTTCGAATATGCGTGTATATGGGTATATGTAGTTCCGTTTTATTTATAAGCTGCACAAAATGCACAAAGTGAGCGTAGTCATCAAGTTTTTACCAGGCTTTTCTTTAGGATACTTATGTATTATGATTTGTTTCGGTACTATATGGATCAATTATAAAACCAATATTAATATCTAACATATTCTTTCATATACTTTTTACTTTCGTATTTATACAATATGCACATTTGTCTACGAACTTGTATGGCCTGAACCCTTAAAAAATTTTCCCAATAGTTGCATTCTCTTTTTGATACACTTTCGTTTTCAAAATGTCTGTTTTGAGAGGTTGATCTTCCATTTGTCCTCATATTATGAACTAATAAATATTTTGGGTATTAGTTCCATTAGTTCAACATTTGTGAAACTTTGTGTATAAACTTCATGGACACTTAGTTTCTTTCAATTTTATAAGAGCGACTTAAGAGCTACAGATGTTTTGAATTTTCGCCGGCGGCTGACATCAGCAGTTGTTAAGGATCAAACCGAATTATAAATTGAAAAATATCACACCTTATATAGTTATATTTTGGTTTTTAACTAAAACGTAAAGCGATTAGCACACCTTTCACCTAGTAAGCCGCCCCCATATACATACATATATAATTTCCTTAATCGAATCGTTTTCTACATCAATAGGGAGTGCAGTGATCAATCAATAAGTCGCCTATGGTTCGGTCTCCCTTATAGCACAATCTATAACGAGGCTTTCATGACGCTAGTTTGAACAAAGCTCGTTTATTGGGTTGTTGCCCATGATTTTAATTAAATGTGCGGAAGGTATATGGGTACTTAGCGCTAATCAATCAGCACTGGAAGTGCAGGGAGTTTTAAACTCCCCCATACTCTAAGTCGCGATCGATTTGAATTCAGTGCGTTTGTTTTGTGTTTGAATTTTGAAAACCGTTTATCAATTCGTACAGGTGGTTGGAATTGTAAAAAGAGTGCTCGTTTGGAATGGGCCAGATCAAAAACATACTTACAATAGTTTCTATTAAATTTGATGGCAAGCGATCGAATGCAACTGCAAAACGTAATAAGCATTGAGGGCAAGGACAAGTCTCAATAATAGCGTATGTATGTGTGTGTGTGTTCAAAATCTTGGGGATGCCAAATTTGTAATGTGTAGTTGATTTTGTTGTTTAATGGTTTTTGTTAAGGCACTGGTAGTATTAATTGCTATACTGAAGCAACTAAGTTAGCGGGGAAAAGCTAATTGAAAGCAAAATACGCAAGATAATGCTGGAGAAAATGACGACCATAGCTCGTATTTCAAGCCTACGATCCGATAGCGTTAGGGAAAATCGCAATTAGCAACACTTGTGGGAAGTGAATCAAGCTAGATTGTAGCTAATATTACAGAGTTTCTGGAATACCATATGTTAGTATTTCCAGATCATTCTGTAACATTTCAGCAATTCACATTCGATTACAGGTAGATTTATTAAAGAGATTTCAATCGATCGGTATTTCAACTTTTGGTAGTGTATTTCCTTATTCGGTGTGACTGAGTGTGTGTGTGTGTGTGTGTGCATATTTTCTGCATTTACTTAGATTAATATACTTCCACTAAATTATTAAAGCTGCCACTTAGTTTACCATTTGCATAAAAATATATATACGGCTTACCGTAACTACAATGATTCCCCTCCCGGACCCCAATTGATGTGGCGAAATGCATCACCAATGTTGTTTAGGTGTAAATCTTATGCTTAGTTATGTTTCAATTCATATACATATATATATATATATATATAAATACGTATATACATGTTAATATATATAAATGTATATATACACATATATGTATGTATGTATATATATACTTATATGTTGTTAAATAAAATCTCATTACCATTAGCTACATATAGTATTTAAGACACATAAGGCTGTACTTAGCATTGTGCTATTCATAAACTATGTAAGTATTTCCCGTCCAGCCACTTGGTGGGCCACTTGGCGTAGACGCACCACGGGGAAAAATTCAAGTGGCCTTTTCCGATGGAAATGTACAAATGTGTTTTGGCACTGAAATAAGTATGCTACGTGTGTGTGAATGATTAGCCTTATACATATTTATACTGTAGTAAGTACTCTTGTATTCGATCTGTTTCTTGTTATGTGAAGCTTTCTTACGAATGTTGCCCCCGGTTTTGGGTAAAGCCTATGTATTCGGATCATTTTTAAACATATTGTGCAATGTCGCTCTGAAAATATCTTTGCGTAATCTTGGCTGTTGCAATTCACGATTAAATGAAAGCGTTTTGTGCCTTGTGTGTCGTGTCGCTGAAATCTCTTCAATAAAACCTATCCGTGCTTAGTATATCCTCCTCGTCCTCCTCAACGATAATCTTATTACGTATTGCGCGTGTGACTGCATCGATATTCGCGAAGGATGACGATGACCAATCGTAGTCCGGTGTATTCGAGGTGGCTGAGTTTTTGGGTCTGATTCTGTTTCTATAGGCGTCGCTGTTGCACACCGGATTGGAAAATGAGGTGCTTTGGAACGCATCACGGGGATAGTGCTGGGAGCGCACAGGTGCAGAGGACTTGGAGTCGGAGGTGGCGGGGTATGTGCAACTGGAAGTATACGAGTGTAAATGGTGGCCTTGGCTGTGTGGGCGTTCCTGCGGATAGGACAGTGGCTGGTGTCGCAACGGAAGGTGTTCGCGTGGCCGTGGTTGACTGAACGAGGTTTGCGACTGCGAAAACGACGGGGATGACAGCCACTGACCGCTGCGCTGCCTGGCCGGGTATGAGTGTGTATAGTGATGTGGTTGCGACTGAGATTGAGGTTGAGACTGAGGTTGAGAGTGTGAGTGCTGTCTGAGCAGCGGTTTGGGTTTCGATTTGTGTATCGTGTCAAGATCAAAACTATTGTCACGTGCTTCCATCAAACCTGGCGCTTTCGAATCGATCTGATCCCACCCCTATATCCACGATTCCTACATGGCATTCAGCATTCTCCTACTACTTCCACCACCTCTGTGCGGACTGTATTCATCGCGATCGCGATCCACAACAGCTGCTGCCCGCGGCACATCACGGGGATCGTCAATGCGCGTCGAGGGTCCGGGTCCATAGCGCGTTCTTGAGCTGCCCAGCAGTCGATCCTCACGCTCAAATTCTGCATCGTCCAGAAGTCGACCTCCGCGCGACAGATGACCATGGTGGGAGGCGCCGCTGGGCCCGCTGCGCATTGCCGGATACTCAAAATTTCGTTCGTCGAGCATCTCATCGCTGTTCAGATCGTAGTGCATAAGGTCGCGATCACGTGCATGGAGTCGTTCCCTTTCCTGACGCTCGTAGCGCTCCCTGTCACGCTCATAGCCGGCGGCATGGCCCACACCGCCGCTGCCCACGCTGCGCTCCTGGTGACGTCCTGACGCCTGACGACGGCTGTGATGGTAAGAGGCAGCTCCTGCAATACGGTTAACACAGGATCGTCTAAGTCAAGCATTTATCAGGTGATCAATTGGCAGTTCAACGCAAAAAACAAACTCAACTAAAAACAAACCAAAAGCAAAGCATTCGAATGCATCAGTAGGCAAAGATAATTCTCCAAAGTCATTTGACAAACAAATACAGATGTTTTAGTAACACGGGTGTGCATATATTTTGCATGGTATTCTAGCTATAAAGTCGTATTGCAGTTAAACCATCTTACAATCAGAACTTTCCTTACGACAAGATCTGATTAACTATGAATTTTTGCAAGTGGGTTAGAAATTGGTAAAGCAGGGCTATAAAAAACATAAATCTTGTAAAACTGATAAAGAAGTAGAAGTCATATTATTTCTCTATTTAGGTTATAAATAAAAAAACATTTAAATGCTAGTTATAGTTTTAACTTTCATTTGATATTCTTTTTGAGATTGTTGTATAAAATCTTTTGTTTCAAATATTTATGTTTTATGTCTTCAATTTCTCTATTAACTGTGGATGGAAGTTTTTTGCTTCTGTCTATGCTCTATACTTAAAGGACTAATACAAAATAAAAGGAAACAATGATTGCATTCAGGGCGACAACTAAACATATCGCAGTTAATATTTGGGAAGGGAAATGTGGTAATGAACCAATAATTGATATCTGCGAAGGTTACTTTTAACAGATTAAACAAATTAAAGCGAAATTGAACGCCTTTGGCAGAATATACTCACTAAGCCAACATGTATCTTAATAACGAATACAATTTGAATGAGTTGAGGATTCTAACTTGAAATGACGAACGGCAATAAAATATTCATTAAAACAAGACAAGATATCAAACTATTAGACTGAACTGAGTTGTTGCTGAGCCTTTGACTGGACCCGAGCAATGTAGGAATCAAGTAGAAGGACGAGGACGAGAGGACACTAGAGGCGCACGACGCCAGGAGTAACTAGAAACGAGTACAAAACATGGCAAGTGCACATTTAGACAATAATATGTTTTTTTTTTATACGAGTCCTATCTATGTAATATGTGAATTATGGTTAATGCATTAAGGAATCACAGGTACTCTTCCGGTGACAATGAGCTTAAGGTCGTTCGGGTTAGTATTGTTAGCAGAACTCAAGCAGAAAATATATAGAAAGTAAAGAGATCTTAAGTAGTATGGTTAACAGCTTTTAATGGGGGCTCCGAAACGGGCCCGAATAACAGGAGAAAACAGAAATTCCCTAAGGAGTGTGCACCTCATTTAGACTCAAACAACGTGATAAATTTGTATCATGTTCGAGTTGTATTTGTTGATCGTCGTGGATGAGGGACATTCGATACCGAAAACTGGAACAGACTCCTTATTATTGATATGATTGAAACGTTTGGACATTATTTGTCTTTTTCTTTGTACTGTTGATATCGCTTTTGTGTTGATCTTGGTAATTGGATTTGAATTATAGCATTGTTGTAAAGGAACCGGGTATGTCTCGTGCTGTGAATGCTGTGAAGTGTTTGCACAAAAGATCAAATAAATAATAAACAAAAAGAAGAAGAAATCAAAAGTGTTAAAAACTTAATCTAGGTAAAAAAGCTATGGAATCCCGACGGCAATTGGATACGCCGGAACAGCTATGAGAATGAAAATGAAAACAATGAAGTTGTATACTTAAAACTTCTGAACATGGTGTCGAGATTTACTATGTGCCCCACTGAAGAGTTTTACTATGGCTAAAGCATTATAATCTAAATTGGAGTTACCTATGGGAATCGCTATCTTTTAAGAATGACCTCTAACATGTGGAACTTAATTGCAAAATGGGTCAATAATCTGTGTATATGTAAATAACTTTAAAGCTAGCCATGAATTGTGAAGGAAATATAATTATGAAACATAATGTAACTCTATAACGATATAAGCCGATCTAGGTATATCTATAACTATGTGTATATAACTGATACATGGAAACTTGATAGTAAATTTCTGACAATACTCAACAGGATTAACAAAATCTTGTAACTTTGTGTGTTTCAAAGAAAATTACTGGGAATATGAATATGACGTTTAATACTATTTGAAAGTATTACTTATAAATTGCTGTTGAAATTATGCGATTACATAACCAAATTAAAAATAACAGTAGAATTTACCTTGGTCCCAATCGAACTCTCTATCCCAATCCCTTTCTCGCTCTCTTTCCCATTCGCGTGCTCTCTCGCGCTCCCACTCCAAATCTCTTTCTCTGTCTTTCGAACTGCGATCTCTGTTGAACTCTCTATCCCAATAGTCCCGTTCATTCTCGCGTTCTCTTTCCCTACTGCCATTGTCTCGCTCTCGCTCTCGCTCTCGCTCCCGACTACCCTCACGCTCGGCACTCGCCATTCTCGGCTCGTGCTCATCAAACTCCTCGCCATCGACTGTTAGCGCAGGCACGCGAATGCGGAGAGAGAGCAAGAAGATTCATCGATTGGTTTTCGGTACAGTCATGGGAATTTGAATTTGAGAAAGACAAATTTTAGAATTGTATTTGTACGAGTTATATGTGATTAAAGTTGTAAAAATTCGTGTATTGCAAATGTGAGTATATATTCATGTTATTGTTATATTTATGTAAGTTAAGTACTGTGTATTATGTCGAAATAAAAAAAAAGAAATGCTTAACTAGTTTTACTGATCATCTGATAAAGTCGTTTTGTGACTCATTCATGTGTTATGGGCTGTTGGACCGAATATCTATAAATTGTTTATTTTTTGCTCGATATTTCAATTGCCAAACGGATTGTGGATGAGATAGTGGGCAATTGGATTTTAGATCTTTAAAATTTCACGACTTTTGGTGAAGGGGATACGATACGCTATGATATGAAGATGACTATGCGTTCATTAAATGAACACAATTCTCTGACTCTGACATTACCTGGTGGTGTTGGACCCAAGCGCGCTTGATCGGCGGAGGGTGATACCGACACCTCCTGAGACGGTATCGGTCTGGCAATGGCCGGTACTGTGGTGCCTGTGCGAATATCTGGATGCGTGGCTTTCCAATATGTCTGTATGGCATGGGTTAGTTTATATATATAAGTATATAAATGATGTATACATATACATATAGATTGAATATGTGAATATAGGTATATTTATATGGTTCACTAACCTCCAAGTATTCGGCAATATGCTCGCAGGCGTCTTCCAATTGGTTCTCATCTAAAATTACATCGAACATTTCGGGTGGACATTGGGCTAATTTTTCGGCAGCAACCATTTGTACGGATAAGTTTTTAGCTTGCGATTTGCCCCGTGATTTGATTAAACGCTGTAAAACCTGCAAATTCATGAATCAACAATAATATTTTTATTCTTTTTTAAGTGAACAAATATCTTACCTTACTACTACTAATCTTTAAGTAAACTATTGTTGGCGCTAATGAAGTTTTTGCTAATTGTGACGGATGATTGATTGTATCACAATCGAGTACGACCAGCTGCAGTGAACGGGCCAGCTCAAAGATGCGCTCGATCTCCTCCTGCACCTTGCCCAGACAATCGGACCGACTGGTGGAACGCTCCATGATGGCACGCTTCGATGGATTGTTCATAATAGATCGCTTCGCCAGGGATATATCGGCCATAACGCGTGTTATGATAATGCGTCCTTCGAAGCGATGCTTGAGGAAATCGAAGAGCGCCTTCTGCATCATGTCGGTTACCTCGTAACCCTTAAGGCTTGGACCCACTAACACAACGGGCCGCATCGATGGCACCACATCGTACGGGCTGGCTGTTTCCTGTTTCTTGAAAAAAGGCTTGCGCTTCTCCTTGTTGGGTGGCGTTGCTAATGGTGTCTTGCCATGTCGTCCTGGTCCCATGGAATCTGATTCGTCACCTGATTGTTAGTATCATTTCGAACAGGCAGAAAGAAAAGATAATGGCAACGGATGAGCGAGTTTATGATTTCTACGTACGAAGATCGAGCGCTACGAGTTGCCAAGCCAATTTACAACTTAAGTTTTTTTTTTAAACAAATATTAAGTTTATGTACACAATATATAATTTTGAAATCGTAAAAGCAAAGATTCTTTTTTGTGTGGGTGTGTATTTGGCGTGTGTGTGTGTGTGTGTTTGAGCGTGTGTGTGAGTGTTTGTGTATGTGGTTGGGGAGTATTTTTTACGAATTGCAACCGTACCACGCGATATGAAGTGCTGTTGAAATGCCAACTCGAGGATGAAATTCAGCCTAACGCATACCTTAAGTCTAAGGATATATGAAGTGATTGGCTAAAATGTATATCCATCTAGAGATAAATTCTACATTTAGCGAAAGTACGGGCGAAACAAAAAAATAAATAAAAACGCCTAATATTTCTATTACTAATAATATCGTTTAAACAAATCAGTCTAAATCATATTTATGATTTGTTTTAATGTAGAACAATGTAAAAAATTGTATTAATATTTATCGTTTAATATTTTCTCAATATATTGCGCATCTCTAGATGGAAATGAAATTTAACGCAATTAAAAAAAGATACAGATACAGACTTTCGGATACTATTTTCTAGCATGACGAGCACAAGATTTTATTGAATTGAAAATGCAATTTCTGATTACCAGATGAAAGACGTGGACAAACCTTGTTTTTTGCGCGGTGTAGTACTATAGGGGTCTTTGGAACACGTTTTTATCACGTAGTTGGTATTATTGTTGTTGTGGACAGTGATAATTATTTTGGTGTGAGGTAAAAGAGAGTTAAGTGCAGTTAATACGTTTTATCTTACTATGCTTTCATATACACAGTTATAGTAGGATATGAGTAGGAGCGTGCTGTAAGTTGTCTCTAGAAAGAAGGCTTGAGTTTGTGTATGGGCGTGTGTGATATGTGTTCTAAACCAATTTGTTGAGTGACTATCATGCAGGAAAGTGTGTTAGACATCTATGTCAGTTTTGGACTGGACCATTTGGCAAATGCTGGTGAAATATATTTCCTTATTGCAGTTTCATTATGGATGTAGCATGATAAAAATAGAACACAAAATTTACGAAATTACGGCAATTTTGTAGCCCAGTGTTGCCAGATTCAGGTTTTTCTAAATGAAAATTCAAAACGGTACGCGACAAACTACGAGTCAGGTGAAAATCATATCGGACGATCTTAGCTGGTTGGAGATCAACTGTTGGATTCAGCTCAAAAATAGCTGTGTTTTATAATTGTGTCCTTTGTGATTGATGCCAATCGGTGGTAATTGGAGTACCTTGGTTGTTGTACTGAGCTGATCGAGAGACGCACTCACGTGTTTATATATTGTAGTACGTATGTGGAATAATAATAGTTATGTTAAATGGTCGTTCGTTTGGTTACGAGAGACGTTCGTTAGATAATTGTTATTAACGCAGACGAAAATATACGACATAAATACGAAAAGGAAATATTACATTGAAATCAAATTAAGATACGATATACAAAATAAAACCTCGACCAAAAGAAATTAGGAGAATGAAATGTGTGTCATACCAGGTGTGGGGGGTGTGCTACCTCGTGATGGCTCCGCACCTGCTTGTCCCGCACCCAGATTACCACTAGATGAGCCCTTTGTGCCATACAGTCTTGAGGGTCTAGTTTGATTCTACAAAAGAATACCAAATTAGCCAGTTAATTTTGGAAGTTAGTCCGTTTCAAGAGCAATGCTCACCTGCATGCGAATGTTGTCTAGCTTAGCGGGGCTGGGTATGAAGCCCACATCACAGCCTTCCTTAACCAGTCTGCCGATCCACCAGTTATTGTCATACTTCTCCTTGATGTGCAGGAACTCCCGCATGTCAAATGAAACTGCGCCACCTTGAACGGGCGAATCGTCGTCAATTGTGCCATCGTACGCTACGTTGGTTCGCACAGCGAACGCTACTGGTTTACTCTATAAAATAATGTAGATATGTTAATATGATTTAGTTAAGACTATGTTATAGCTAATACTCACCCTCGCTTTATCCAACTGGCTTAAGGCCTGACGTTCCTTTTCTCGCCGAAGCGATTCCTTTTCCTCGTCTAGCGACAGATCGGATGACGGTTGTGAGTAGTTCGAGTCGGCAGAACCCTGGAAAAGCAAAACACATCACATTTTCTTGTTAATCGGGGCAATGTACACAATAAACATTTATCATTATGATAATTGGCTGGTTGCCAGAGGCTCTGGATCAACATGTGGTAGCCAGTATCTGGAGAATTCAGTGAGATCATAGTATCAAAATATCCCTTTCTTTAATAACTTAACAAAAATCAGAAAGTATTGCTTACGGGTTATATACATATATGTGTTATAAAGAATATATGTTTTGCACCTGAGTGAAGAGTTTATTGTATCCGCTTTGGTACGACGTATATCCAAGGCCAAATCGAGACTCTCGATTATGGCCGCCCTGAATTGAGGGAGCATCTGAGGAGGATGCACGCTGCACCATGGGCCTGTCAGCCCGATAATCTTCTTCGAATGAAGATATTTTGATGATGTTTCCGACACAACGGCACGACAACAAGAACACAAATCGTAGCTGCCAATGCCACAGTTGGACCCACGCTTCAGACGAGCGGACGCAAATGGTGACGATGACGGCCACGTCGACGTCAGTAAACACGATTGGGAGTAAGTACTAAGTGACGCGCCAACACGCAAAGTCGCAGGAATGTGCCGATAAACAAGTCTAAGGAAGCTATAATAACTATTGCCTCGTCCAATCTCCCCCACTGGTTGCTCAGAACTTGGACGCCAACGGACAATCCGCAATCCGCATTAGGCCTTTGGCATGTCCAGCAGTCCCGACGAGAGAGCGAAAGAGACAGAGGGAGCGAGAGAGATAACGAACTCTGGAAGCCAATGGCACAGGCAAACAGTAAATGTAAACGGTAAATGGTAAATGTAACTGGAAAGGCACACACGCTGATTTCTGCCGCTTCCTCTCACTTCTTGCTCAGTCCCCCTCTCAAAAGATTGGCCCAATCTCGGAAATATTTTTTTTGTGCTACCCGTTTCTCCGTCCTATCGAAGCGATATTGGCGCATCAGGATTACTTGTTGTTGAGTTAAAAATAAATATTTGGCATGTTATTTGGACCCGCGGTAATTTTATGCTCTGCTCGCTTTTTAACTTTTTTTTTTTTTGTATATGCACACACAAATTCCTGGAAAACCCCAAGCCGAAAATGCCTTTGGGAGAGTGCCCGTTGAGAGAAATTTCTTCTATATTTGTATTCTTTTATTTTGCTATTTTAGCTTGTATCTGCTCCATCAATTTTTTTCATTTTTCGCGTCCGTTTCTTTTTTTGAGTTGGTTTTTATCTACGGTCTACTAGCTGGCGTTCATTCGATTCATATTTCGATTCAGATAGCGTTTCCTGCCCTTTGCCACGACATTCAGTTTCGCATTCGCATTCAACATTCACCCGAACTCAATTCCGCACGCAAACTAAAGTGTTTCTGTATTTGGAAAATGAAAAATGTGTTCATGAATGCTTCGTTTTGGGGAAAACTTGTGTAGAGTTTCCCTCGCTTCCAGTGCGTAAATGTTGTTGGGAGTAACCTCTGCCCCACCGCCCCACTGCGCCGCTCTTCCACTCTGTATTTTGTGAATACGATTTCAAAAAGATTCAATGAGTGCGAGTGCGAGTACGAATGCGAGTACGAGTTCTACGTACTACGTGCGTTCAATTCGAATACAAATGCAAATGCACACTTTGCCAATATGAAATGTAAACAAAATACTCTTTTCATTAGGCTCATTGGAAATTCAAGTGCAATGGCAACGGTTTTGCTTCAGTGTGCACTGGGGACTTATGTACTAATAAACACTATCTGTATTATAAATGCACTTTCGTAAATCAAAATAATATACATATGTATGTATATGTATCAATAATTGCTCATATTCATGGCAAGTAAACAATTTAATTTCTCTGGTATTGAGGCTTCCGAGAGTTCTGTTGCTGTGTGGAAAATCGATATTTTTCTAAAATAAGCAAAGGGTCGTCCACCTGTTGGCAAGCCACGCTTATCATACATATACATGTGTACATTGTCTACATATGTGGGCACACTTGGGGAAATCAAATTAGAGCTGGTTTAAGTGAAAGTGTTGGTTGGCGAGAAAACAATTCGCATCGCAGTTCTTTTCATACTGCTTATGCAGTTGGCTTTAGTTAAGTTGAGAAAGTTGTTATATATATAAAATATAATATAAATATAAAAAATCAGAAAAGTGAAACATTCGGGAATTATCAACTTATATCAAAATTAAAGAAATAAAGACATGTATGTTTATTCATCTATTCCTATTTAAAAACCTTGCTCCCCCTGATCGGCAAATGCCAAGACAGTGTGCAATACAATGTAAACATTATGCTGTCCATCATCACAACCAAAGCGAGAGAAAAGGAAACATTTCCAGATGAGCACATATCCACTGAGTAAATCAGAGACGGAGTCGACGAGAGAAATAAAGAGAGAGAGAGTGAAAAAGGGGGGCGAGACAACTGAAAACTCTCCACTTTCAGAATGCGCAGACGCCAGTTTTGAATGTCATGTGGAGAACGCGCTCTTTCTCTGATGCTTCTTCTTGTGATTTGTCCCATTGTTTTGTTGTGTGTGGGCCAATGGCAAAGAGAAATGCGAATGTCATTTGCCCCCAAACATAATACTTGGCTCATTCTCTGGCCAAATTATATGTGGCGAATTATTGTTTACCTTTTCCACTAATTCTAAACACACGATAACGATTAATGAACTTGCCAAAACCCTGACCAACAAAAATAATTAATAATAATTTTATAATTAATATCGCAAGCATTTTCGGATTGATTTTTGTTATGCCTCTGTATTTGCTCCATTTTAAATGCCACAAATTTATGCATGGGCCTGTCTCGCTAATCTCTAGAGTGATATTTTATTGTCTAGCATTTCGTGTCATTACATTTTTTGTTTGTTAGCTGAAATAGGCACAAACCAAAATAAATGCAAAGAGCTGAGAGATATGTATATAACATGGCCAAATTGACAACAAGAGTACGAACGGAATGTAAAGAGAGCTCCAAGATCGTTCAGAGCATGTGTATAAAAATAACCGGACCGGGCCAGAGGGGTTGGGCTGCGGGTCTATGTCAGATCTGGGTCCGTACGTACACTTACCCGACGGTTTTTATTCCTAAAGGGTTTATATGTCTTCGCCTTATTCTTGGCGCCCAGGTGCAGCTTCTTCATGTTGACCGTTGCGTTCGATTAGCACAGGGCCGTAATTGTGTGAGTTTAAGCGGATATGGAGCCAGCTAAACCAACTGATTAATCACAGAACAGAGATCCACTTAATGGTGGCGCTGTCCCCAAACAAATTATGCAATCATCTTCGGTGCCACACAAAAATAAATAAAATAAAAATATAACAGATGAATAAAATCAAACATAAACAAATACTCCGGCAAATACTTTAACGACCATCATTAAATTGAAATGCACTCACACACGCACATAAATTAATCAATTGTCAGAGCTGGCGACGGCGGGCTTTCGCATAACTAAACTAGGTCAGACTAGACTCATGAACTTTAACATAAGATTGGAATGTGCCACATGACAATAGTTAAATGAATCACATTTGCAAAATTGCACAAAACATCTCAATTTATGTTTGTTTTATGTGAATTTGGGATCACTTCAACTCAGCGGCCGTTTTTTGGTTTCGATTTTTATAGATGGGCGACAAACGAGCTGCGACCGACCACAAACGCAAAGACAACAATTCCGACTGTGGCTGAGTGGAACCGATGTACATATGTAGACGTCGAGATGTCGAGATGCCGAGTTGGAGGCACACGGCGACATTATTTTTGGCAGCCGACGCATTTCTTCGGGGGCAGCCGGCCTACAGCTCTGCTCATGTTGGGCAGATGATCAGCGAATCATTAAGCAAAAATCAGTTCTATATCACAATGTACTATAGAACTGCGGGATTGTGGGCCGATGGAAACCCCCTCGAATAGTAATATTATTTTAAAAACAATGTCATTTGTATTACATGTGTATAACGCTTATCCCTGCCTAGTTTACCTCTTCCAAATACAATTTGAAAAAGAGACTATCATAGTAAGATATTTAGATACGTAGATACAAAATTCATATTCTTAGGGTTGTCAACAACTGGCAATATGGACTATAACTACAATTGATACTGAAAGCCGGCTCCATGCAGGTTATCTCCATAGTAGGCGTAAGAGGGAACTTGCTCCGTATATGCGCCTGCAGATCCATAGCCGGCAGCTGAGGCACTGCATGGAACCGGCACCAGCTGCGGCTGACAGCTAAAGAGATAGTTTTTTGGGCAAGGCGGCGATGCGACTCCGGGTTGATAGCTCGAGCAGGAAGCGCACGCGCACGCTGCGAACACCACAATGAGAAAAGCGGCGATCAACTTCATGTTCTGTGGATGATTCCCTGGATATTCGGCGGCTTGCAATACACTGACAACCCACAATTCTTCCCTTACACTTTTTATAGCTTATGCCGAGAGGTGGCACCAGGTGAGCGAACTGCAATGTACGTATTTTTATTGTTGCTGAAACAGCTCAAATTTATATGGCTACTACAATTTGTGCTTAGGTGTGGGTGTTAACGGTGTTGTAAGACAAGTGTAAGCAATTTTATACACGAGCCAAGAAAGCCAACTGAATATCTGCATAATTGTACTCTGGCATAGGGTATTACAATTTTGTCACCAAATGTGCAACGCATAGAACGAAATCTATCCAACCCCAAAAAGTATATCTACTCTTGATCAGTAATGAAAGCCAAGTTGATTTAACAAGTATCTTGGCCTCTTTGTTGGATCTTCATTTCTATTCTATTCGACTAGCATAAGAATTAATTAATTAGTTAGTTCATCACAAATTTAAACTACTACGTCTGGCTCTTCTGCACTGCTTTCTGTTCAATGTGATTCTAAATTATGTAGCATACTTTAAATGTTTCAATCTTTTACGCAGCATATCTTTAGGCGGGGTTGAAGTGTGTCTTGCCTTTTATAAATTAAAAATATTATAAGGCAAAGCTATTTATTATTTAAATGTATTTCAAGAAGTACTTTATGTCAGCAGTTCAGAGAGCACACACTTAAGAGTCTAAAAGTGCGACACAGGACTTAGACATTATAAGAATAAACATAAATTATAGTTTATAATATCAGTTGATTGTTCGCCTTAGTCAAAGCGTCCTGTATCCTTTTTTATAACGGTTTATCCTCCTCATTTCATACATATGTAAATCTTCTGAGTGGAATGCAAATCTATTCAAAATAAACTCACATTTGTCAGTCATAATTGACAATCGATTTGAATAATTTGAGAAGCACAGCGTAAATACTGAAACTAAGTATAATTGGTCGCCGGGCTGGCTTTAGTTTGTTTTGTATACAAATAAGCAATTGATCGTAAATTTGAATTGGAATCGAAAGTCCATTCGAATGGGGCACAGTCTTGCCATGAACACAAATTGCCTGCAGCAGTTGCAGCAGGTAAAAGGGGCTAAGTTTTCTGTGAAGACTGCGGCTAAATTCTAATTTCGGTATATCAATGGCTTTCGACCACACCGGTAATTACCCACATGCAGATCCAGACTGGCCAACCGGTGGCAAGCGCGGCATTGGCCGTTCCGATTTCGAGACTTTAATTTCAAAAATAATCATGGGGTTTAGTGTGTGCGTGCTGGCCTTGGCACTGGGCCACAGGCACGGGACCAGGTAGCACGGAGCCGTTTTGATTGCCTGTCCACCTCTAACGGTAAACAAATCTGTATTGGGATCTCGCTTGGTTATGTGTGCATGTTTTAAGCTCTACGAGTCGAGTTGGAAAATAAAAACGCAATAGGAAAAGCCAATTTAGGGTTTTCTCGGCCTACGCTTTGTCCAGCCCGTGCCGCTGGGCTAACACAGGCCACCGACACTGACACTGCATCCACTCCATTTGGCTCCAGCTCGGA